GCTCTGGGTATCATAGGACCCTTCCATTGGCTCCTCTTGTTTTTCTACAAAAAAGAGTAGCTGGATTTCCCCACGCATCCCCAAGCAGTGAGTGCTTGTCAAAGTGGTGGGGAGAAGAAGGTTTTACCTTTTTCTCCTAATTGAAAAGATAAGAGGGCCCAACTGGAAAATAGCCACTGTTTTGATACTCAGACACTGCAGTGCTTTAATCATTTCTATCACATGGCTTTCGATTCCCGTTTTTATCTTCAAAGGTAGTGTCAGAAAAAAAAATACCGGAAAAATACTGAAAAACGTGTCCTTTGAAACCTAACGGAGTACAAGAAATTAGAAAGAATTATTCATTGCTGTACTGACCTTCCTTAATTCATCAGAGATAAGAATATCATCATAATACTCATCATAACATTTCACAATATGTCCAGTTTCTCTAACAAGTCCTTCAGTGTACAGCCGATCAAAAAATGACATCGAAATCTGTGTACAGGGCACCACTGTAGCTTCAATTTTTGTCACTTTGGAACCTGGAATATAAAGGAAAGAGTCACATCAAGCCTGTTGTGATAAATACAACAGAAGAATTTCCATGTAGTAATTGTTTCACAATCATTCATAATTTGATATGGTGTGGAATTAATTAACTTCTCTAAATGGTTGTGTGGCATATTCTTAAAAAAAAAAACAACAAAAAAAAAACTACAAACCACATAAGTATGACTCAGTCATACAGTCCCTCAAAAAAACAAAGAAAGCTGAGAAACAAGGGTAAAGAAAACATTAAATTCAGCCAAACACTAACACTACATTAAGGCTCATGTGTTTGCTCCCCCTGTTGGCAACAGTATCAGTCGAAACAAATATTAGATAAAACACCATGTGAAACTCCACATCGCGTTAGATCACACCCTAGAAAATCATATTCCACAACTTAAGTTATATCTAAGAACAAAATACCACATTTAAAGTAGAAAAGTCACTAGCTGCTAACAGCAGCCAGCAAAGCAAAATAAAAGAAAATCCCACAACCCCAACACATTTTTCTTTTATCTGAACTTTTCACAAAATTATTTTGTAGCTACCCACTGTAAGCTTTACTAGTCAGCTATTTCAGAAGATGAAAAAAGTACTGTCAGCGTTTCCTGCATGAATAAGGAGTATTCTTTCTGCAAACAGTAAGTACAGGTACATTTTCCTGTATTTTTTTGTTTGTTTGTTTTCTGTGCTTGTGAATCATCTGAGGCTGGATATTCTTGCTCATAGACATTTAGTGCCATCTGAGGTACTCGGTAGTACTTTGTTTAACAAGGTATCAGTCCATAAGGGAACATATCTTCTTTATATACAGTGTTACATCTACAGATCTGTATGCATGGTGTTGGTAACTTGAGACACCTTCAATAGCATTGGACTCATATGTTTAAGAAGCACTGGACACAGTCCAGTTCCATCTGCTCTCTACAGACCAAGGGTTCAGCGAGACACACGGCTTTGAGCAACCTGATTTAGTGGGAAGTGTCCCTGCCCATGGCAGGGGGTTGAAACTAGATGACCTTTAAGGTCCCTTCCAACCCAAACCATTCTATGTTTCTGTGAACACGTGCTCTGGTCATCTCCAAGCCCCCCTGAACATCCTTCAGAGTGCTTCTGAAAAGGAGAGGAAGAGAGGGCTCGACAAAGGATGAGCACGAGGGAAAACACGAGGGGGCACACACTGGCAATGTTTCTCAGCAGAAATAATATTCACAAAATTCTAGCTGTCTAGGAGTTTACTCCCATCTTTTCTCATTTGTAGATTCCCTCAATGGTAGATCAGTCAACATCAGACTATCAAAAGACTGTTAATTATACAATTAAATTAAGTGGTGAGCTGGCAAACTGATCTAAAGGATCACTAGGAGTAATATTTTGGAAACTGCCAAGTTTCACTCTAGACAACAGTATTTCAGAAACAGAAACACATCAAAAAAAGCTGCATGAACAGCGGTGCTTCCAAAAGCATATATGACTCTCCATTCTGATCCTAATCTCTGCAAGCATAGCATAACCTAACATTTCTCTTCCCTCACACTTCCAAAAATCTCAGATATTATCCATAGAGATTATTTATTCACAGGTTAAGTCTGAACAGTGGACTTTTGATACATAAATCCAGGTAAACTGTACACCTATCTGATCAACACTAGGAAAAGCAATTAGAAGTTATAAATAGATGGCTTGAAAACATGTCTATTAAGCTAAAAGTACCATCATGAAACTGTACTTTTTTTTTTTTAATTGGGCCAATGTGATGTAAAGAAATTATACGGAAAAGCTTGGCATTTAATTGCTTGAGTTCACATCTACAGATATGGTTATGGCAAAGGATAACTTTTGTTAAAGAAAAAGTTTTAGGACATTCTCTTTGCTGTCCACGTAGGGATTATCAAAAAATCATTATGTAACCAAAATCACAAGTCTGGAAAAAAAAAAAAAAGTGACTTAAAGCCTCTTAACCTAAGCAGGGAGGGGAAGGAGACCTTTATGTAGTTAGTTAGTTATTACTTCCTTCCAACTCCTCATCCACAGACTCATCTAACTTTCAGTTCTCTGCATTCCTTTCACAGGATTTTTTTTTTTTTTGAGGTTTAATAAGAAATAAATTGTCCTCTAACATATAAATTATTTTGTAAAGATAGATGAATCAAAAACTGATTCAAGATTAATAAAAATCAGATGTTAAACGACTTGGAAAAAAAAAAAAAGAGAGAGACATTTTACATATCTTACATTTTCCTAGTTATCCAGCTCAAAGTATAAGAAAGTGATCTATTTATAGGCCTTCAATTTGTTAGGATTTTACTGGGGGGGGGGGGGGGGGGGGGGGAGGGGGAAGGAAAGGAAAGGAGACACACTTCAGCTCTGAAAAAAGATGTCCTGAAAACATCTGTTGGAAGAAAAAATGAAATCAAGAGCTTTGTGTCCTATTCAGCACTTCATACAACTAAACTGTAAATGGAAAAGTTTGAATATACTGGAAGCTCCTATTCTCCATTTGAGAGGTGAGGCTTGAAACTTCAGAATTTCCTGGAAAAGAGTAACCAGCTCTAATAACACTATAAAAATGAGCAATAAAATAGGAAGAAGAAATGTCCCGACAACTCTGCAAGTGGAAAACAAAGAGCTAAGTATTGAAACAAAACTTCTTACTTTTGGAACATCTACAAAGTGCTGCCAATATACTTTTAAATGAACATATTGCTTATCTAGTATTGTGGAGATAAACCCCAGAATAGATACATCTAGAATTCCACCAATGTTTAAAAAAGACTTGTTCCTCAAGGAAACCTCTCCAACTTGCTATTTACAAAACAGTTTACATAGAACATATATCGTGCAAGCTTAGTACTCAGTTATAAAAAGTTGGTACTTCAGAAGCAGAATTCAAATAAAGAATAAAAATACTCAAATAAAGAAATAAAATTCAAACAACATCTACAATTTTTGCAAATGAAAACCTGTAACAGCAGCCTAAAAAAATTATTTAAGATTACCTCACAGATTTTTAAACCCAATTCCAAAACCAGAAATCATTTAAGCTTCAAGTATGTATGGCAACTCAGAGTCTTTCTTAGACAAATACTGAATTTTTACTTACAGAAAAAAGAATGTATCCCTATCCTTTGAAGATAACTTTTCAAGTGTTAATTGAGTTTAAGCAGATACAGTCCTGCCTCCTTAAGACTGCTGACAGGTGCAAGGCTGGTAATGTGTCAAAAGAAAAACTACCATTTAGTTTTCATTGCTGCTATTTAAAAATACAAGAGTCAATACATAAGTTGGAATGCATCAAATGTATTCCTTGTGCTGCTTCTATTTTAGAAGTATGAAAGTAAGAGATGAAGGGAGCTTAAAACACGTGACAGAACTGTCAGGTACTCTGTTAGGAAGTCAGGAGGAGGGGAAAAAATCCATCCCTACTGCAGTAAGTTAACAAGTGTGGTGTAAGAAGAGGTAATAAAGCATATCTAATCAAAAGAAACAGAGGAGAGAATATGCTTATGTATAGTTTACCTAAAAAGTTGTATTTCGAGTAATGTTAAAACTGGAGTACTTAAGACAATGAATTATTGTGGGATTCTACTGGGAATTCCAGCATGTGGGGGAGCTGGGAAGAGAGGGACATTTTACACTCCTTGATGCTGACTGGGGATATTATGTCTGATAAAATTAAGGTGAGGATGAAAAGCAGAAAAGAGAAACAAACACTGAGATTAAACAAAACAAAAAAAGCAATAAAGCCATAAAAGCAGTAAAACTTAGAGAGACAGATTTTACAGAAAGGAGATAGACAACTAATAGACAAGAGGTGGAGATAAATATGAAAGTGAAACCATAACCACTGAATTCAAAAGGAAAATAAACTCTTAGTAAGAAGGTAAAAGAGGACTGCTGCCTGGAAAACAAAACAAAACAAAACAAAAAAAGTCTAAAATATTATATTGAAGTTTTAAACAAAGCTGACAGGGTCTACAAATACTTTCTGTCCAAGTTCATGCTGGAGGAAGGAGGAAGATTTAAGAACCTATCTAAACTCCACCTTATATTATGGATCATCCCCTAAAAAAAAATAAAAAAATAATAAAAAAATCTACATTTTGGTTTGCTAAAGAATAAATAATAAATGCAGTATTAGAATCAATAAAGATTATGTAATTTTCTTCAGGTTAAAAAAAAAAATCAAACAAAAACACTACTAGTAGTTTAATTCAGGAACAGAAACTTGTTTTTAAAAGTTACTCCACAGTGACAAGTAACTTGTATGTCTGGATTAGTATTTTAAAGTGTCTGAAGAAGGAAATACTAGATGATTTTGTACCTCCTCCCACTCAAAGCTAATTCTTACTATATTTTCAAAAAATGCACATGAAGACTAACTATAGAAAAATGTGCCAACATTCCTCACCAAAAATAGGCAAAGAATGGGAAGATGAAATTTTAAGAGCAAATGGGGTATACCAGCTGTTCAGGATTTAAAAAGGGAACCCTTCCAGTCCTCAAAACAAAATGTATTACTTCTGTGCTGAGGAAGATTGAGCAGAATCAGGAGTTAAGCTGGGATCCTTGGCAAGTGACCCTCTGCTCTTAACATGAGGTATGTAACCTACTGACCTTCACTACAGGGACTGACAATTCATAGGCTAGACAGATAGCCGTAAAAGATTCTTGCCCAAAGCAGGAAGAGGTTCACCCAGGCTTTGAAATATATTTATCTTCTTTTTGCCAGAGTGAAAAAGAGGCTCCTAAAGGGGGACTTGACATTTTTTTTGCATGTTTTTGCATGTTATATAATTCAATTGTTTTAACAGTGGGATAGTTTGGAAAATGGATTCTGCTGACAAACAGGTGTCAATGTCTAGTGTCACTGTATATAGTGTGGAAAACCTATGCCAATTCCAGAGAGATGAAGTGGAAAAGCTAGAAAATTCCCAAAGCTCCATTAAATATTTACACATACTAAACTACTTGCAGACAAAACAAAAGAACTGAGGACTTCCCACAATACCCTTTTTAAGTATTCCTATTAAGGAGAATCACTTTGGAGATATCAGAGCTCACTTTATGCGCAAAATCCTACTACATTATCATATGTAGTTCCATGACATTTTATGTCTCATTACACAATAATTAAAAAAAAAAAGCAGTTTCAAAGTGTTGCCATAAAATCATGTGCTATTGGTCTTTCTTTGTCAGCATCTCACCTACATCTTCAGACAAAATCAAGCATTATGAGTGTATAATGATAGGGTAAACATCAACCTTATACCATGATGGCAACTACAGCAACATATCATATGGATCTCTCTTTGCACCCAGACAATTTTTAATGTATGGATACAGCACACCCCAGAGCTTGTGTATATACGATATCTAATTTTCTGCTTCCTCTACTTTAATTTGTAACAGAGCAATAATCTTAATCTCTCCTAAATTAGGTAGCTACATACGTAGATAAGTGTCTTTCTCCAAATAAGAATAAGGCATAATAATAATTCAGATTATTCAACTGAATAAATGGTTATGTCTGGATAATGATTAGGTTAACTGGATGTCACAGTCTTTAAAACCACCTCTAGTAGCTTGGCGTATGAATCAATGTGGGGCTCAGGAAAAAAAAAAAAGTAAAATTTGTTAATTAAGCCTTTAAAAAAAATAAAATATTTTTCCTATTATTTAGTAAAAGAAGTCATTCTTTCATTCTTTAAAATATTTCAACCAGATGAAGGTACAGTATATGAACTCTTATCATTACAAAATAGTAAATTAAAATAAAACAGTTACAGAACAAACTTTTTTCTTTAAGATTAATTTATTCTAAATTTACCCAATGTAGTCCACTGTCCTGAAGGTGAGAGCAACTTTAAACTGGAGTTCACATTTGGATCATTAAAAAATGCCTAATATTCAAATAGAAGAATAAGAGTTAATTAGATCAAACATAAAATCGTCGTATACAGTGCCCTTGATATTTTCAAAATCAATTCTAAGGATCCAATTAGGAAGTGCATTCTGTATGACCTTTCACTTTGGATACCAAATTTCATACCATCAAATACATGTTTTTGTCACTTTGTGTTGCCATTATCTGGAAGACTCAGTATCTTCATAGACACCTACATATGCAGTATGAAGTTCTTGCAGTTAAGAACTTACAGTCCAAGAACAGACAAAAAGAATTAATGAAATCACTGGAGGTGCAGAAGGAAAATGACATGTAACAATTCTACCTCTGCATGCAATGTTGTTGAGATAAAAAATGAAATGCTAAAATTTACATTTTGTAAATAAAGTGAAGTTTTGACAAGTGTAGATAGGTAGAAATTATTAAATTGATACAGAAGAAATCCATAGGTTATTGAAGGAATGGAAAAAATGTCCTGCAGTTAGATCTGCTGTATTCCATCTTATTAATTTATCAGTAAAAAGTGCATAGTGATGTTGATAGTTGACAAGTTTAAATGATATATAAGTCAGTTAAGAAAACGCAACCTAATGTATACACATACCACCAGAGTGAATAATCACTGAACAAGCTGCTAAGGAAAATGATGGATTTTTCAATGTCTGCATCACCAAATCTCATTATCACCTCTCTGAGACATAGAGAGATCAGACTGTGTAAAGTAATGCTCGCCTCATCCTCCATTAATTCACAGCTACTTGGAGTCCATCACTTCTTAGTGATACTTTTACATTTTTAATTCAAAGGAGACAAGCATTGAGAACCTAAATGCATAATTAACAAAGTAAAACTTTTTTACAACTTCAATAATATGAGATGTTTTCAGTGGGAGATGAAATATTACTGTATTTTTATGTGTATTCCTTTAAAATACCAAGAGGTTCAATTCTTCATCCAAGATAACAATATAAAATACACCTACGGCAAATAAAAAAAGTTTTTTGTCATTGTTGTTGTTTTGAGTGTTTTTTAAAACAGAGTTGAAGACCATGCTGTTTTCAAAACCACAGATGATCATTTTTTTCCACCTGCAAACAGATGAACAGATTTGACTTTGCAGACAATATAAGTCAAGGTCACAAAATCAGTGTGAGAGATGAGTCTCAAAAAGCTGAGAGCCCACAATTCCAGTATAAGCAATGGTATCCAGTAAATTTAAAAATGATGCACTTTCAGATACGTGGTGCTTATGCATGTGTAATTATACTGTATATTTACTGTGATAACGCAGTAATAGCTCTAAGCTAACAGTACAAACGGCATGTATAAAGTCCTAGGTGGACTTCCCAACATTAAGAGTGGTGGCCAAAATCAGTATCCATCTCAGATTCCCATTCTCAGGCTTGAACAATTAAATTGTTCTATCTTAAAACAGTATCAAGTTTCTATACTATAGACTGAGATACTTCCAGTAGGCAATACAGTTAACCCACAAGACAAGGTTAGACCACCATACCTAAATTACCTACTTTCAAAGTGAGCAAATAACACATTAACATTGCTCCAGTGTTTTCCATCATTTAGGTTTCCAGTATATATAATTTCAAATACAAAGGACTTAAAACTACCCAAACAAATTCATCCTTCTGATAGGGCTTAAACTGCTGGTCAAAACTGAACGCTTGAGCCGTGATCCTGCCGTGCATGGACCTGAAACGGAGAAATGAGAAGCAACAGGTATTGCATGTGCAGTAGGTACTTACTCACTGTGCACATTTGCCTAGACACACTACATGAGGTCCCTCTCAGACCAGTGCCTACACTGTTGTGGTGTGTTTTTTTTTTCTGTCTTTTATCCACACACATCCACACACACACACAGCGCTCCGTGGAGGGCTGGGGAAACACAGCTGTGGAGATGCAAGAGACCGGGGCTGAGGCTGGAAGACAAGGATCAACACCTTTCGCCTCAGAACAAGCGCTTTGTACCGCCAGAAAATACTGAAAATACTGAGGAGACTTCCAAGTATATAATAACATGGGGAGGGGGCACCCGGACCCGCCGCCGGTTCATATCGAGAGCTCTGCTTCTTCCTTCCCTCTCAACCTCCCCCGGGGGGCAGCGGGCTTCCCCACGCCCACCACTTGAGGAGCCGGTCCCGAATGTCGCTGTTCTGCAGGCAGGGGAAGGCTTTCTGTGGCAGCAGACGGAAAGCGAAGCCCTCCGAGCCCCGCTGCTCCCCGGCCGCCATCTCACAGCGCCGCCACCTCAGCGGTTGCCTCGGTAACGGCGCGGCGCGGGCGGTGCGGCCCCGGCTCGCTCCCGCCGCGGGGCCCGGACCCGCTCAAAAAGGTTCCGCCGCCTCGTCCTGCACCGCCAGGGCCCAACTTCTGACAGGATTTCTGTGGTTCTCATAAAGAAAATACTCTAATTAAACATCAACCCGCTCCCTCCTTCCCTCTGCTCCTATCCATGCGCTGGAAAAAATCAGGCTTGCCGAAGGAGAGCCTGTGCACGCCCGGGAGTGAGACCACCGCTGTTGGCTGAGCCAACGCCACCCGGTCATGCCAAAAGTGAATTACGAAACGCCCAAAGTTATGAATTATGAAGCTGTAATGAATCAGGGCTGCTTCTTACTTCCCAAAGTGTTGACCCATGGGGAAATCCTGAGGTTGTGCTTCCAGGCTTTTCCCAGTGGAAAATTTGAGGAAAGTATGTTGTCACTTAAGGAAGTTATTTGTAAAAGCCCAGTAAAGCGAGAGACGCGTTGCAAAATCTCGGAAATTTCCTGCCCTTTTCAGGGACAGCAGCAAGAGCAGAAGGCTGCTGCCTTATGCTACATCCCCTAACAATCCACCCTGTCTCCAAAACCAGCAATGGTCTCCAAAAATGTCATCTCCCCATTAATCTGCTCCTTTGGTTAACCAGCAGACCCGTTTATATGTAAGAAGTTTAGCAGTAGCTTTGTTTGTTTCTAATATTGTTTATTTCTTTTGTTTCCTAAAAAAAAAAAATAAATAAATAAAATTAAAAAAAATCCCTGAAGCTGAATTGTGTCTGATTTGAGGGGAAAGCAGAGCACAAAGATGCAGCATGTGCTGGGGGCAGAGCAGAGAACAGAGATAAAACCACTGGCATTGGCCCTGGAAAAACATCCCACAGATTCAACTCTGGGATTAATATAAAAATGATTGTTATCGTGGGATAAAACAAAACAAAACAAAACAACAACAACAAAACAAACATGCCTTTCTACTTAGTACTTAAATATGATCAAAAACGGTGACACCTGAAACAAATAATTATAACCTTATTCTCAACACTTCTCCACCTACTCCAGTGCTACCTCATCTGGTGAATTCCTCTTGCCACTAATATTACCAGCCAGAGATTAAATAGCCCAAGTGAAAGAACTGGTTTGGGCAGGGAGTGATGTGTAGCAACAACTACCAAACACACATTCTGAATTTCAAGTTGTGTAGACTCAAATATAGATTTAAAAAAAAAAAAAAAAAAGTGAAACTTTAGGTCCTAGACTTCTGGGAGAAAATAAATAAATAAATAAATAAATAAATACAAGAACACTGGCTTTAGTGAAGATTTTCTCTGATTCAAATGTCGAATCAACAACTGTATGCTCAAATCCCACTGAAATCAAGAGTGTTTAAATGCTTTGATGAATCAGAGGTAAGGAAATGAGTAAGGACTTCAGAACTGGCTCAGGAGGATCAGGACAGGAAGCTCTAAGCTACTGAATTAATGTCTTTAATGTTGTGTAATGTACCTGTCGTAGTTTTGTAATTCAACATTTCCAGTTTTAAGCACTTTACAGCAGTAGAAGTTAGATTGGGACTTGGAATTTGAGTACTGGCTTCATCTTGTGCTGTCATTCACAACAACACAAAGTAGATAGTCGAAGTCTTAAACATGAACATTTAATTTTTTTTTTTTAAGTTCATGCTGCTAAGGATTTTATGGTCTCAGGGAAGATATTTTGAGGGCGAAAATATGTTTTTCTGCTGCAGAATGAAGTCTTGTAAGTAATATACTATTAAGCAATAGTAGTGCCTCAGTCTTTGCCAGACCTATTTTCAGTATTGTTTGTTTTTCATGTATTTACTTACACATGATTTTGAAGAGTTTTACAGTCCTGAATAAACCACGGCCTTTAAGTGCAAAGCAAATAAACCAGCCTTTCCATGGCAAACAAAAATCAAATTACAGAGGACCAGCCCTGTTGCACCTTTGCAAAGTGCATCAGTCTTTGAGGCAAAGGTCAGCTGTTGGTGGAACAGCAGCTGGTTCCAGGCAGGGAGGCGGCAAAGAACCCAAAGAACCCGAGCAGCAGCTCTGCCCTGCTGGCAGAAGTCTTCAACATCACTGAGGGATGGTTAATCTGCACAAATTAGTGAAAGAGAGGAGGAAAGGGATAATTATGAGCATACATTTGTGAAAGAATTAAGTCTTTCCAGTATTAAAATCACTGAATCATACAATGGTTAAGGTTGGAAGGGACCTTTGAAGGCCATCTGGTCAAACTGCCTGCTCAAGCAGAGACATCTAAAGCAGCTTGCTTGGCACTGCGTAAAGACAGCTTTTGAAGATCTCCAAGGAGGAGACTCCACAACCTCTCTGGGCAACCTGTGCCAGTGCTCCCACACCCACACAGCACAGAAGAGCTGCCTGGTGCTCAGACAGAACCTCTTGTGTTCCAGTTTGTGCTCATTGCCTCTTGTTCTGGCACGGACACCACTGAAAACAGCCTGGCTTTGTCCTCTTTGCACCCTCTTTTCAGGTATTTATAGACATTAATGAGATCCTCCCTCTTCTTTTTCTCCTCCAGGCTGAACAGTCCCAGCTCTCTCAGCCTGTCGTCAGAAAGGGTGCTGCAGTGATTTCCTTATCTAGGTGGCCCTCCCTTGGACTCTCTCCAGTACGTCCATGTCTCTTTTGTACCTGTGTATGTATGTGCAAAACTGGACACAGGAAGAGTCTGACTGAGAGTAAGTTACAGTCCAGATCCTGCATCTTGTTTGTGCTGTGGTCAGAACAGGAGGCACTATGTATGATATGACAGTGCCTTCCAGCATCAGCAGAAGACTTACAGGATATCAACATCCATCTCTAGGTACTTGGACTGATAAAAAACACCAGACTCACAAGTCCATGAGACAGACAGAAGAGAAAGGGCTCAATATCATGGGAGTTAATTAAAATTACCAATAACTTAGCAAATAGGAAAGGCTATGACATGTCTGAACTCTCCCTTTACTCCACCTTCACACCAACTTCTGCCCTTCAGTAGTGCAAAGGTGCAAGGCAGGAGTCCCTGTCCCCTCCAGAGCCAGGCTGAGGAAGACAGACAACAACACCTCTGCTTGCAGATAAATGCCACAGGTTTTCTTTCAAAACACAACCCAAGAGCTCAAAGTGGCCACCTTCATACAGTGTGACTAGAGCTCTCACCCAGAAAGAGGGAGATCTGCATTTTAGCCTTTTTCAGGATGAGAAGGTCCAAGTTCACTGCTCCTAACTGCTTCGGCTACTGGGGTTGGTGTCGTGTCCCCTGTCCTAACAAACTTATTTCTGGGTAACAGTGTCAGGACCTCGGGTGAGGTGCAGAGACTTGGCAACACACTTTTCCCCAGTGATGTGCCTGCCTGCACTCAAGGCCAGCTCTGCAGTAACCTTGGGTCAGGCAGCTGCAAGAGCTGTGAGGTGCCTCAATGGGAGCCTGATCCTCTTGGTTTGGGAACTCCATTATCAGCCCTACCTCTTGCCTTTGCTCCTTCCTGGATCTGTGTGGATGGCATGTCTGCGCCTGGCTGTGAACCTCACCCATCCTGAGCCTGACCTCAAGCTCAATCCGTCTTGTCACTACAGGCTTGCCTGGTGACCTGAACTCGTGGTTGAATCTGGTCACTGCCACCGGACCTGCTTTGCAGTTCTGGCTGGGGTGCTGTGAGTGCCAGGGAAGGCTCTGCCCTGCTGGCCTTATCATCACCCGCAGCTCTCAGCTCATCCCCCTTTACAAAGCAGCCCAGTCTCATCTCCCTGACACACGGGACAGGGTGAAAAGATGGCTATGTTTATGCTAGATTTGTCCGTGTTGCCTGTTTTAGTTTAATCAAGAGACTGTTACATTAATAACCTCCAAAGAACTTGTGTATATTGCTTTATATATGCACTGCAGCCAATTATGAAGCTTAATTCAAAAAGCAGTCCCAAAATAGAAAATTTACAGTTTGCATCATAAAAAGTATTTAGAGATAAGTAGTAAAAGAAAACATGTGAGGCTAAATACCAAAAGTGAGTGTAGGCATCAAAGCAACAAGCATTGAAATGCCTACATTTTCTTTGCTCCTTGAAAAAGAAATATGAGATGCCTGGAGAAGCGTAATAAGAATTAGAGTGAGGCCCAGGAAACCCAGCACAGTGTGTGTGACACCATCCAGGCCTACCAAGGAAGAGAAGTTTCCTCAGACAAAGGAGGAAACAAAAAAAAGATCAGACGCTCTCATCTCATCTCCCCTTTACAATTTACATACTCCCCTGGAAATTCACTGCCTTAAAGCTCTCCCTTGAAGGCTGGTTTCTAAACACCCTTTTTAAAATCAGACATATGTTACAGTTTCTTTTAAACCACCAAGAAAATAAAAGGGTTCTGAGTTGCTGTTCCACTTTTTGAGCAATACAGGAGTTGTTCATATGCACAAGTAGGAACTGGGATGCCCAGTTCCAAATTCATCCACTACCCCTTTCTTCTACGAATGCAAGCCAAGAACATAGCTCACACACAAAGTTTTCAGTCACTGTTTACATACAAAGGCTTACAATGGATCTGGGTAATTGTATCTCAGAAACCATTTCTCCATGTAGAAAATAACATTTGACTATAGTAGTTAGAGAAAACAAACTTGAATTTGTCTCTATAACTTCTTGACTGGGGCACTTAGCAGGAAGGGGTCAATTCTGGGGCCTGTCCAAGTGCCAAGGATCTTATTACTTTGATTCAGTGACTGCCTAGCTAATATGAAATATTGAAGTAATCTTGGATTTAGACGCGAAAATTCTTCAGCAATACTATTTTAAACTCTTCTTATTGCTCCTTTTTTTTTTTTTTCTTTGTTGGTTTGTTTCTTTTTTAGTATTTATAGACAAGGTAGTAATTGTGTAGCCATACTGTAAGGTGTTTTGTTAGTCTCCCAAGAGAGTTTTTACAGATATGTTAAGAATTACATTTTGCCTATGGATATGCTTTTGTCCTGACTGATTTCTGATACTCACATCTTCCCATTTGAAAACAGATTGTCTCTATATTGTTAACAAGTTTTCCATACTTTTAAAAGTGTAACATTTAATCTCCTTTCTACCTGCATGAACACAGCAGTACCAGGCTATGGGACGTGCTGCTTTTCTCTGGGCAGTGATCAGGGTACTTGTAGGAGTTACTGATGTTCTGGATGCTGGAGGCTTGACTCAGTTGCTTGATCCCTCAAGGGACTGCAACATCTCCATTGGGCTGTCAGATATGACAAAAGACCTAGGGGACAACTGTGCTCCTCCAGTCTGGTGACTGGAGGTTGGGTGGGCATTTCAAATGGTACTGGGTCTAGAGATGAGAGCTAAGACCTGGAGGTGTGTTTCAGCTTTGGAGGTGTAATTTGAGGTGTCTACTTGTTAGCACTTACAGGCCAGCAAAGCTTCCATTATCATCAGGGGAGATCAAGATCTCAATTTAATTGCATAGAGAGACATTTCAGATGCCCAAGGTATCCTTCAGATTGCCCTAGATATTCCTTTTCTGATTTTCTGGAATGGCAGCTAGAGTCTGTGTGTGCTCCAAGTAATGATATATCTGCCAGATCCTTAAAGGGAAGCTCTGCTTTGTCTCAGGTGGAACTAGGTGCTCATGTGTAGGCTGCTGAATTGAGTCCCAAGTCAGTGCTGCCCTTAGAGTTTACAGACTTAATCAGCTGATGAAACATCTACCAAACTGTGAGCTAAAAAGCATTCTAAACTCCATACTTCAACTGTCTTGAATGTGATATAAATACGAGTACGATGGCATGAATGCCTACTGTTCACGTGAGGTATATATATCTAACCAACGTGCCCCTAAAGTAAGGGTTCAGGGATCAGCTCCAGGTGTGGAGGTGCTGGCTGAGTGACTGAAAAAAAAAACACGCCTGTCCTTCCTATCACAAATGCATTTAATCTCCCTCCCAGCTCGGTACACCTTATTCTCCACCTATGCTCTTTCTTGATAAAGGATCTAAGACTGTTATCTATTATCTACCCCAACAGTGTTTTGCACATCCCAGCTTAGCCCCACTCCCCCATACCTACGAGTGAATGACAGAGCTATCTCCAGGATCCCAGTTCCTGTGCTCCTGCCCTCGCACTGTTGGCACATCCATCCTACCCAGCCTTGAGCTACTTTGTCTCTTCTCCTCCCACTCACCCTCAGGAAGCTTTGCACCCTATGTTGCTTTCTGTGCCACACCATTCATGTTTTACAGCTTCTTCATTATAAATAACAACGTCACCCAGTTGTTTATATTTAAAATTATTCTTTTTCCATTTTTTTTTTGTGTTTGACTACTGAATTTAAAATTAGTTACTCTATTTATTTTGACACTTACTTTGTTACATCATTCACGCTGATATTCCTTGGCTTTCCTTCTCATTGAATGGGGTTTTCTAGGGGTTCCATTTCTGGATTATCACATCCAAAATTCAGCGAGTACTGAGGGGTTAACAAGGTGTGATACCACATTTGAGGAGATTATAAAAAGTTTCAGCAGGGAAAAGAAAAGCTTCATTTCAAAAGGAAAATGTGTGTAGTTTTCCAGCAGGGCATGTTTACAATATAAATATATATATATATATTTAGAGTGACTTAGAAGAAATCTGTGTGTGCTGAAATTAGCAAACAACAAGCGAGGGCTTGCCTGCAGTGTTGCTTTTACACTGACATGGGTAAGTCAGTGACAAATCTCAGCATAGCTTGACATGGATCATTTGAAATCAGCATGCTTCGTACCCACAGAGACCTTGAATTCTCTCCTGCAGTGCATGTGAGCTCAGTGTTTACAAATGCATCTCATGTATGCAAGCTACTCATCAATATACTTTGCTTTGAAAAAATTACCTGGTGAAAAATCAGGGTGGTCTCCACTGCAGTAAAAGTCAAAAGCTATGAAGGGTTAAACCTGACTGCATTTTTTTTTTTCTCGTTGAGAGGGTGGGGTTATAGCAATAGGGGAAGCTATAAACATGTAAGATTTGGAATGTAGCACTGTTGCCTAACAAGACCTCTGTCTTTGACATTAAATTCAGTCTTTTTCAGGGCTGGCAGGCAAAGCAAGTTCTATTGCTCTTTTAAAAGCTGGGTAAGAGGTCATGTGACTGTTTTGCTTTCATAAAAATAGCTTTTATTGCAAAATCCAGTTTCCTTTGTCTACTGTTTATACTGTTTAAACAAAGTTTATAAAGCAGTGTAAAATAAGGTACCCAAATGTCATCGTCCATTCAGTCTGACGAGCATCCTTCATTGCGTAATCATGAATCTTAACCTAGGCCATCTGAGAGGCTGGCAATCTAAACCCTCAAACAGACTGGGAGGGTGGAGACACTGCTCTGTTTTCAGTTCTGTTTACTAAAATGGTGAGGTCTTTGCTGAACTGCCATATTTGTTGTCTGACCTTTGTGAAATGCCTTATGTGTGGGGTTTTATTTTAAATGTTTTAGTCTAAATTCCTATGCAGATTTGTTTCTTGCTATTGTTTCTGATGGTGTAAGGAAATCTATTCTTCTTAGAAAGGGGAGGGAAAGACAGTCTCCAGTATGGACTGCATCTTCTGGGCTTTGGAAAACTGCAGTCAGTTCCCAATGTGACCACAAAGTTTCTATTGCGATTTAAGCAAGCAATTTAGCACTAGATCCACAAAGGACATAGAAGGTAGCGTTGTTGGGCTGAGATGCCTATCAAGATCCAGATTCTTGATTACATGTCTGGTCTGCTACCACAAAATGTGAAGAGATCCTCCCCCACCCCCCCAAAAAAAAAAAAAAGTGGCAAAAAGCCACCTAAACTTGCCAAAAGGAAACAGCATAAGACAAAAGGAGAAGTTCCATGTGAATTAGGAGAACTGAGACATGCCCTTGAATTGAAGTCTCCTTCCAGTAACTCTAGATTCATTCTTACGCTCTTCAGTCCAACCCGTATTACATTTCTACACAAAAAAGACAATTTCAACAGTGAGGCTAACAGAGATTGGTGCTATAGTGCCCTCTGATCTGGAAGTTATCAAAGGCAATGTATGGATACGTATTTCCCCCATAGGTAAAGTCCAGCCTTCATCCACGTGGATGAAAGGGTAATGCAGACGCTGGCTGTCTTGGTTCGTGTAGGATTCTGTCTACCGGGACAGCAATGGGAGTGCTTACTGAAGCGAGCTCAGGAAGTCACATAAAAGAGGACAGTCTGCACCATGGGTCCTGATGGTATTTAGGTATAAGACAGGTATTTAACTGTTCCATAAAGTCAAGCCTGAGGTTGTTGTAGGCTTGTCCAGAAAAAGAAAGAAAATACAACACCAAGAACAAAAAAAGTCATTTGGAGGGAGGGGAAATCTTTCTTCTTTTGAAATTTTCCAATCGCTTTGCTGTTTTCTCCACAATTATGACTTCTGCAGGAGCCAATAGACTATCAACCAAGACTTTTATTTCTAGTTATAATGCCAGCACCTCCTGGACTGTAAAAGGCAGAGGAAGAGAGATGTTTCATGCAATTCGCCCTGCTCAAAGTGAGATTAAGATTCTGCCAGAGAACTGGTGATAATGAGTTCTATCATGCACTGGGACTGTCCTTGGTCACCTCTACAAATTCAACCCTAGGATAGACAAACATGTCTAAGGATGTAGGGATAATAAACACCTGGGAACAGACTGGCACCCATGTAAATGTCTGAAGGAAAAGATGCTAGTCATTCTACTCAACCTAAGAGACAGGCTAGAGCAATCAGGACTAATTGAAGAGTGAGGGTAGCCTTTCAAAGGTGTCTGTTTTGGATGAGTTAGGGCAGCACAGCCTGAAGTCAACAAGTATAGGGTCAATGTAGGAAAGACTGGTGTTGTCAAAACAGAACCATCAAACAGTTTGAAAAAAACTTGACATTTCTGTATTTTCTACCAAAAGGAACAAACAAACAAACAAACAAAAACATTCTAAGGATTTTGGAAAAAAAAACGTAAAAAAAAAAAAAAAAAAGGGTAACCATTTCAGTTGGACTTCCAGGAATCATGAGGTTAATTCTCTTTACAAACTCATGAGGTTAATTCTCTTTACAAACTCCTCCTCCTGGATCAATTGGTGTTTTTCTTTTCTATTTTCTATTCTAAGCTGCTGTTTGATTTTCTGTGCAGTGTTAGTGGTCTCATGATTGTAGTATGCCTCAGAAACTATGCTGAATGAAACAATTCCTCTCCCCAGTCCCATGTCCAAGTCTGCAAGAAGAGTGTGGAACTCTGGCTTACAGATGTGAATTGTGTGGCCTAAATCTTGTGCATGTCCTCTGGAAAGGAAACAAATGAGAGAGCTCACCACTTTGTCTACAGATGCCAATTACATAAGAAGATACGTACACTGGTTTACTTCAGTAATTTATCTGGTGAGAATAAATTTCCACGTGTAAAACAAATGATCAAAAAGGCTGAAAATCCACAGTAATATACCAGGATAATATATTATACAGGTGCATGGATTCTTCTAAATTCTGTCCTTGTACTGTTTTCCTCACCTGGTGTATCCCCCTCCTTTCATTCCTTGTGTCTTTCTAATCATACTGTGCAGTTAGTGTGTCAGCATCGGTCCCACCCTTTGACTCCATTCTGAAAGGACCAGTATAAAAGAAATGAGCTTCCTCTTAGCCTTCCAAATAAGTGATTATGGCTCAGTCACTAAAGCACTACTGTCTCAGTGAGGAAATGACATACTCCTTCTAAGACACAGGCACAAGCTAGGTAAGAGTCTCCCATGTTTCTTAGTCTGCACAGTATCATTTGAATAAAATCATATGCAGATGCTGTCTTAAAGTTTTTCCAAGAATATATTTCTTCTAATTGGAATAATAACAAGAAAAAATGAGCCAGAAACTATGAAAATTGATGAAAATCAATCAGTTCTATCCCCTGCAAAAAAAGATGGGATTGTTCTTCCTGTTCATCTGACATGGTGAAGAATAGACAATCTGGTTTTATTCCTTAGGAACAAGTCCAAAAGAGAAGTGGCAACACTTTACTTTCAATTACAGTATTTTCTGTATTTCAGTTTCTAAAATAAAATTTTCCTTGCTAAAGGTTAAGCTAAGAAGTGATAGATAAAGCTTCCAACATACAAACTTATCAAAAGCAGAAGTCCCGGCAGAAAGACGTGATGCCTTTTCCTTCTGAAGGATTCTTGATTTACCGTGCCCAGGCTGGCTCCCAGAGGATCGTTGCCATTTTCTCTGAAGTTTCAGTTGTCTTCCTAATCAAGCTGTAGTTCATCTGAGGAATATTTAGACTAGAGTGGTAAATGTTTGGGTATTAAAACCATTTTAGAAAAAAAAAAATGGATCAGGGAAGAAACATTTGGAGAAATTATTTATACAACAATAGACCAAGAAATCCTTGCCAAAAATAGACTGGTTGTTCTAGGCATGTGCATACAGTAAAATACTTTGTAATCTGAAGAAGGGGTGTTAAGGGTTTTCAAGCCCGTAAGCAAGACACAACAAATACTTGCTGAGAGTAGCACCTCTCCTATAAAGAAAGACTGAGAGAGCTGGGGATGTTCAGCCTGAAGAGGAGAAGGCTCTGGGGAGACTCACTGCAGCCTTTTAATACTTAAAGGGGGCTTACTAAAAAGATGGAGGGCAACTTTTTACTTGGGCAGATAATGATAGGACAAGGGGGAATGGTTTTAAACTGAAAGAGGGACGATTTAGATAGGTAGGGAGGGAATTCTTCACTCAGAAGGTGATGAGGCCCTGGCACAAGTTGCACAGAGAAGCTGTGGATGCCCCATCCCTGGAGGTGTTCAAGGCCAGGCTGGATGGGGCTTTGGGCAACCTGGTCTGGTGGGAGGTGTCCCTGGCCATGGCAGGGGGTGGTGGTGGAATTAGATGATCGTTAAGGTCTCTTCCATCCCAAGCCATTCTATGATTCTGTGATTCTATGAGGTAGGGAAAATCCAAGTCTGGAGTTGGCTATAAGGTCTTTAAGGCTTTTTTTTTTTTTTTTTTTTCTTTATCTCTTCTCCCTTGAAAAGTAAATTTAAGTTAATTCATAAAAAAATTTCATTACTATGGGATTTTTGTTTGTTTTAATGTGGCCTTCTTTCTCTTTCTCTCTCTTTTTTTTTTTTTTCCTTTTTTTTTTTCCCTTCTCTTTTGTTTCCTTGTTAACACCTTCTCTTCTCAATTTCAGGTTCCTGAAAATGTTTCAGATGCTACAGTTGTTGGAGTTGTGCCTTTTAATTCAAGAGCAAAAGGATTGGAGTTTTACATACTATTTATACGTGAATATCTTCAGATGTAGATACATCACTCGTGGTGGATAAATGGGTTTTCAATCTTCGGACATAATTTTTAAGAACACAGTTTTTCAAGTTAGATTTAGAACACACATTCAGTGTTAATAAGGGAATAGCAAAGTATTCCAGGAATAAAAAAAAAAAAAAAAAAAGGAAGCAAATATTATAGCCATATTCACATCCTCATATTTGTCTTAAATTAGATCAATAGTTCCAAATATCCCGTGAACTGTAGTTCTATCAAATCTGTAAGATAAACTTGATTAAGTTGGAAGAACTGAAGATTGTTTTAGGTGTGTAAGGAGGCTTTTATATTCAAATGTTGACAGAAAAATGCATTGGCATCTGGTTCACTGAGGAAATTGAAAACATAGTCGAAGTTAACTTATCCCCATTCATTATGCAGTTAGCAAGCAACTTAAAAGGTTGGCAAGCTCTACCTCTTTCCCTCTAGGGAAAAATAAACATAAACTTAAAGTGAATGCACTTCCTAGGATCCTGTTTATTTTAAGTGTCCTCTTTATTCCAGATTCTTATTTTACCAAAATCAGCATGCTGAATACCTCTTAGTGAAGCATTGATTGTAAACCTGTACTCTCCTCACAATATTATCAGAATGGACAGATTTCTCAAACCCTTGTCCTATCACCCTACAAAAACTCTCAGTTAGACAATACAACTGTGTGATTTGTGGGTAAGGCAGTGTTAAGAGCCCTAAATTGGCATTAAATGGAATAGGGATTGTTTGCTCCTTTTCATCTCATTGAACATACAGACTGTTGGGCTGTGTTTATACTGCTAAGTTGATTCAAGCCTTGGGGCTGAATAGTGCTGACTGGCTTTGCATCCCCACTCTGCAAGGTCAACTCCCTCTAGAACTGACTTTTATTGAAAACTGGCGCGGCCCACAACAGAGTGAAGGAGAGCGCTAAGAATTAAGCAATAGGACAATAAGTGTGAATGTCTGAGCTCATTCCTTGTTCCTTGTTTGTTTAGATATGCCCTAAAGAAAAATAAATAAAAAAAAAAAAATCCAGTTGCTGTGAAAACTTAAAAACAAGTCACCAGGCTAACATTGATGATGAACACATTAGAAGATGTATTATGACTCTATAGGAGTAAGTGTCACAGTCTAGAAAGAGGGTTCCTCCCTGGTATTCTCAGTAATATTCATGTTCAGAAAAGCAAAACAGAGACCTGCTTCTCAAGATCATGGTCACAGCAGTCATGGATCATGATGAACTCCACTGCAGCACTTCTTGCAAGGATCACAACACATCTTGTTACAGCCAAAGCAGCAGTGCCTGGCTGCACCCAAAGGCTGGTTACCCCTCCTGCATTTATGCATGCCCACAGATATACACACATGGGAGACAAAACTCATGTATATATACACATATACAATTTACACATACGTAGATATGAAATAGAACCATCACTGCTCTCCAGCTAGTATGAAACTATCTGGTACTATAGCACTCAGAATAATTTTAAACTGGTGCTAAGAAATCTTCCTGACAATGGACCCATTGATTTGGGCATGGTCCTTTTGAGATGTTGCCCTGGGCTGCTGTTGGGAAGCTGCTTTGCAGCCTGCCAGATATGTCTTTTTGTTGTGTAACACCAAGGGTGGCTTAGGACATGAGGCCATGGAGGGGCCTGCTGAAAGACCGGTTAGTCTGGGAGAAGCCAAATCTGACATGAGTCAGATTCATGCTGCACCTTCCTGCAGTGTGGGGGTGGGACACTGGCACACGTCTCTTGGGCTCCGCCAAGTTCTCCCCAACCCAGGGACTTCTGAGCTTGCTGAGTTAGTTTGAGGGTGAGCTAACACGTAGGCAGCATGGACATTCAGGAGTGAAGAGCTGGCAATGCTCTAGCACAACCCAGCAAGATGGTAGAGATGTATCTTTTGTTTACTTAAATTTGAAATATATATATATAAGTATATGTATATATATATGTATATATATATATATATATATATATTTTTTTTTTTTTTTTTCCCCTGTCTTGAATCTTCCACTTGGAGTAACTCAAACTTTTATAGTGGAGTTGGTCAGATTGGAATTGGGAAACTTACCTGGGTAACATTGAAGATTCTGCCTTGAAAGATCGAGTCAAGAGACCAGTGTAATATTAAACCTTCACTCCAGTTTAATACTGAGCATGCTACAGCAGTGTATTGTCTTTCCTTGATATGTTCACAATGCAAGACAATATTAAAAATACAGCCATTTCTCCAATGCCCACGGCCAGATTGTCCTTGTTGGAGTTAAAACCAGGTCCTAGGTACAGGGATATATATGAACTGTCTGTTTGATGGAAACCACAACCCACATTCACACGACACTATGTGCCAGTGCTTTTTATTAGACTCTTAAACCACCTCTGTAGCTACATTGCTGTAGGATGCTACATTTAGGAACACAGGGGATGGGTTTAGGCACCAAGCTGTTGGTGGTCCATGCAGTTTAACTGGCAGCACTCTCCCTGACAATGTCCAAGCCCAGCTCAGGGCCTACCACAGTCCTGGGACTCTTCCCAAATGCAGTGTGAACAAAGCACCCTGCTCTAGATGGAAAGAAAGCTTAGCTGTGTTGCTGCAAGAAGCAGCAAGGCACTTGCTTTTGGAGCCAGGGAATTGGCTCTGGTCCATTTTATTTAGTGTTGGAGCTATAAGCAAACTGATCTACACAGAGTCAGCCCAGCGTCTATACACCAAGTGTACCAGTGGCATCAGACGCTTCAAGAATTAGGATGCAGAGATTTCGGATGTCCTCAGGTTAGGTTTGGAAGCACATGTTTCATTTATTTGTGGAAGCACAAATCTTCGGTTATTTGGATAAAGGAGAATTCATGGCAAGTGAAGAAAGTTGCATCTGCAGGCACATGACCAGTTGGCCAGGATATGCTGCAGGGTGCACTGGTGATAGTCAAGTTCTTATTGCTATCATCTGTTTGTAGCTAAATTCAGTAACCTAAGTTTGAGATTTAGTGGGAAAATGTAAAAACACACAAACACATACCCCAAAACAACTACCAAATATTAACCAAACCAAACCAAACCAACAAAACACCACCACCAAACAATAATAATAGTAAAACAAACAAACAAACAAACAAAAAGTGTGCCAAGGGAAGAAGTGAAGTCAGTAGACCTCTCCTGGGTCTGCTACAAGGGCAGACCATCTACCATCTATCATCTACCTCCAAATGTCTACACAGTACTTACACCTGATCTTGTCTCTAAGTTCTTTTTCATGTCATTAGAAACAAATAGGCAGTGTTAGGGACTGATTCCTCTGACCTATTTTAGATATATACCTTAGGGGCAGATTAATTGTGCCTTAAAAGTGCTTATTTCTCTGTAGTATTTCTAAAGGAAGCAGGGCAATTATCTCCCACACAATTTCTATACACCTACAGGAAACATGAAACTTATAATTCTTTGGTTTACATTGGTACTGTACATTTATTTTTTAACATCTCCTTCCAACTTTCTCAATAAATCCATACATGGGACACCAAGAGGCAGCTTTCAGCTGGTGCCCCGTCCCCGCACAGTGGCCAGGCAGCAGAAGGCAGGGGTACAGAGCCCAGAGGGGAGCAGGTGACACGTGGTGGCCCAGGGGGCAGCTTTGGGACTTCCTCAGCGCATGGCAAACACGGTGGCCATGGGCCTGGTGGGGCTATGCCTCTGCTACGGCTGCGGATTTACTGCATGTGAAACCTCCAGCTGCTCAGCTGCCAAAGGAAACAAGAGCAGCCGTGGCAGTAATGTTCTTTATGGGAAATGGATAAGGACAAAAGGGCCATCCGATATCCCGCATGCTGATGTGCAAGGACTGTCTTATTAAGGAAAAAAGAGATCTGAGGAGCAGGAAGAGATGTGAAACACGGTACTCCTGCTTCTTAAAATATGTTAATAACTCCATCATCCTTAACCCTTCAGCTTTTCTCTTCCACAGAAAAAAAAAAATAAAAGTGTAACTTTTAGACTCATTAAGTTTAATATACCTTGAGTTTAATAGTTCCTGGAGGATCTTAAAGTGCTCTATTAATTATGGGCCAGATGTTGCATGCGGTGCCAAGCTAAATTGACAGCACTGTGCAGAGCTTTAAGTGCTGTGCCCCAAAGTTATGTGTTTGTAGTAAGCTCTCAGGGGAAGGGTAACGTGGCTGGCAGCTGCGAACCATGGAAGGAGAATTTTGACCCATGGAGGCAGGGAAATCTTTATAGTTTTAAGAATTATTTTATTTTTAAAGTCTCTCCTATATGACTTCTGGAAAGGATTTACGCGTTGGTATTCAGGAACTGAACTATGCATTTCCACTGGATTCACCTTGATCTGCTGCAGTCTGCTCTGTACATTTATTGCTCTTTCAGAGGAAAGGTGCTCTTCAAATACTGTGTTTGTACTTGGTTTATAAATCATACCTGAGATTTTAAAATCTTTCAGAAAAATATGAACACCCAATTTCCATTAAAATAAATGGGAATTTTTAGTCCCATCAGGAGTCAGTACACACTGCTGAAACTAAAGCCTTGCACTATTATAACACTGTCCAAAAGTTATTCCTTTCAGTATGTTAAATAGTTTATTTAATCTTCTCTGAAGGAAAGGAAAGGAAAGGAAAGGAAAGGAAAGGAAAGGAAAGGAAAGGAAAGGAAAGGAAAGGAAAGGAAAGGAAAGGAAAGGAAAGGAAAGGAAAGGAAAGGAAAGGAAAGGAAAGGAAAGGAAAGGAAAGGAAAGGAAAGGAAAGGAAAGGAAAGGAAAGGAAAGGAAAGGAAAGGAAAGGAAAGGAAAGGAAAGGAAAGGAAAGGAAAGGAAAGGAAAGGAAAGGAAGAGTTCTTGACATGAAGAATAAGGAACTTGAAATGTCCTTTGTTGGAGCAGCCTGTTTGTATAAATTCTACAAGCCAAAACTCACTTACAAGCAGAGATGAAATAAAGCATCTTAGTATTTACTGTTCTTGTTGGAATAACTGAGCCCAGATAGGGCCTGAGACAATATACCTGTGAGCCCCTCTGAAGAGAGCTGGTACTGGTGTTTCCTTGTGCTGATCTCGTGCTGGACTGAAAGTATGGGGGGGTTCTTCTGTATGGGGTCTCTGGTGCCTCATGACTGGAAGAAACAGAACAACTTCATGCTGGTTGCAGTGTTATTTTTGTAATGGATGAATGGAAATGAGCCACTCTCAGAATGGAAGGAATAGGCCTACACTGAAAATAAAACAAGCTGCTTTTAACTGCAGTCAGAAATCCACAAGATGTTCACCCACGTGGACACCATCTACATGTATATGTCTCTGTAGCCACAGTTTTGATGTGCAGTGCCAGGTGCAGTTTCCCTGTTGGAAGTGGTCCCTGTGTCCATTTCAGTGCTACCTCCTCTTCTTTGCTGTCATGCACTGAAGGCCAGAAAGAGGGTGAGACATCTACCAGGTCCCTTGAAAGAGGGGGAGGTGGGTGGGAATTGAGAGCAAACAGGGCAGCTTCCTTTTGCAGGAAAGATCTTTTCTCCAGTTACCTCTTTTTTGAATGTCCCCTGTCTAATACCACTTGGGGATAGCTTGGCAGACAGCACTGCTAAAATACTGTTTTTATTTCCAGTACTATCCATGACAAGCCTTGTGAGTCAGGGCCCCAAGGTGCCCTGTTCATGGCAAATGAATACTCTGGAGACAGCTGTATAGAGTAGCATTTAACCTCGACAAGGTTGGAGAAGTCTTTTATATTCCTCTTCCATGTCCTAATTCACTCAGATAATATCTGTGAGGAGACAGCACAAGCACTGTGACTCTTTGTGTCTATAGAGTGACTAGAAGCCTGAGGTAATCACGTAGTTCTCTGAGGGATATTAACCTGTGGGAACATTTAGAGTGACATGCACATGTCTAAGAGGATAAGTAAGGTCAGGACAATGGCCCAGTGCCAAACCCGTGCCCAAAGTTTGGCTCCCGCCCAAGCACAGAACTGCCTTGGGTTAACAGACTGTCTGGGCATCAGTCCTAGGTCCAAGGCTTGATTCCAAATCTGCAGCCAGAAGCTTTTGCATAGCATCCTCCTGTTTTTCTCACTCTAGACCTAGGTCTTCAGAAACACAAAAAGTGCAGTTTTCAGAGGCAGGGCTTTCCAAGAAGGGAAACACAGAGCTGCAGTTGAAAACTTTGGGGTTTGGATTGCAAAGGTTCAATAAATGATTCATTGCTTTAAGTATTGCCTTGTTAGATCATTGAACTTTGACAGAACTTTAGTATTTAGTACCTGGAGGAAATTCTCTGGATTGTCTCCTCCAGCTTTTTGTACTAATGGAGGCATAAAATACTGGAAATCAGCTGCACTTGGATAGAAAACTTATAAAGGAGAACTTCCTTGATGGGAAATACAACTTCTGTGAAGTAAAGAGATAAAGAGTAATTAATACATTGGGGAGAAAAAAAAAAATAAAAGAAAGAAAAGAAAGAACAGTTCACATGTTTCTGTCACTTAACACCAAACATTCAGCCAAAGAAAAAAAGGTACGGATTAAGCTGAAGACAGTCTAAGTTAGTTAAAGCTTATCATTCACATATTGCCTAGAAAATGTCATGCATTACTATCCTGATTAGTCCATATTTGGGCTGTCTGGCATTCAGCGACAAGTCGTTAGCAAGATAGAAAAGCTGTGATTGCAGTACAGTCTGCTCTTCTGGAAAAAGCTTGCAAAACAACGAATAGCACACAAAAAGTGAGCAAGATGTTCCTACTTCTCTGGGCTCACCAGAGAGCAAAGGGACATGATATGAAGCTGAGATAACCTGAGCCAATTTCAAAATCTATTAAAAAATATAAGACTAAAAAAATACTTTGCGGCTCTTCTTTATAAGACTGATGGCAGGATTTTATTGAGAAGATGCTGCATTATTTCATCTGATCCATGGTCAGAGTTCAGGCAGAGGAGACCAAAAGATCCAGGTACAGCAGGATGTGAGGATGATCTCTACTGTTAATTTGGCATGTAAAGACTCATTTGCTGCACCTTTACTGGGGAGAAACGTGTCCTATTTTCACCGTACAAATTGCACATACCACGGGTGCAGGTGTTACACTACGCGTGGTGGGGCAGATCCCTGCTCTCTGCTGCAGTGTGTGCTATTTATCAGCAGTTTTCCATGCTGTGGGACTGGCTACTGTCTGAAGGTTTGCCTAATGTTTTCTTCTGCCCTGGTTCCTCACCTGCTCTCAGCTATTTAATTCGCGGAAATTGGCCACAGAGTTTGCATTTGGGTGTTTGTCATCTGACATGGGCATCGGCTGTCTGAGAAAATGTGTTTTACAGGAGTGTTCCCTCAGCGCTCGGTGTCTGTCCAGGCCGTGAGCTGACGGCACTGCGTGGTTATTTCTACCCGTGACAGCATGGCAGGACGTGCAGGCGGAGCTGTGAAGTCACGCGCCATGCTAATGATAACCTGCCCCTGTTTCAAGGCAGCATGGAAAGCAGTGGTGAAAGCTGGGTGGCACTTTGAAGCCTGACATTGGCTGTCCTCAGACAGACTGGCATTTAATCCCCTCAGAGCCATGCTGGAGTTCACTGTGCTCTGCGTGGCGCTTTGTGAGGGTGTCCCGCTGAGGGGCCGAGCAGGCCTGCAGGCCTCAAGCTGTGCCCTCAGCACACACGGCCGGGCTGGCCCGGCCCGCTCCATTTTCTGTCACAGAGAGGCTGGGACAGGCCCTCTGCTTCCTTCTTACTGCCCAGCAGCAATATTGATGCATTAATTAACGTGCTGGGCATCCTCATTTGTGCCTGTCAGCACAGAACAGACCCTGGGCTGGTGTCTTTGAGACCCTTCATGTAGCACGGTGGCTCTGGGGGCTGCGGGAGGGAAAGCGGCTTTTGGGGTGTTGTTATTCCACCCAAAAATGTTTCTTCAGCACGGGGAGAAAATTCCTGCAGCTAATAAGCCATCTTAGAGTGACTCAGCTGTGAACCAACATAAATATGTGAAAAAGTATTTTAGGCCGTGTCTCCACAAATCTTTAAGTCTAATGGGCTTGACTGTGACGTTTGATCCAGTAATCATACTGAGTCTTATTAAGGCCAGAAACATAAGGCATAGTAAGTGCAGATTGAGACCACTTGATATTTGACTAGATATTTTCCTGAGAACTTTCTGACCCGTGTGTGTGACAGAAGCTTTCTTTTTTAAATAACTTTATGAATGTTTGCTGGCATGGCAAACCACAAGAACAAGATACAATAGCCTCTTGGTATAAATCTCAGTTAATGAGATCAGGACTAGAAACCTCATTGTTCAGCTTGCATTCTGTCTGAACGCAATCTGCTTCTCAAATTATAAATCAGGGGCAAGACACTGTACCATTGTGTAACCCTACACCCTGGCTCTGGAATGTTTCCTAGTCACAAGAGGATTGTCATCGTTTCATTTACGAGAGAACTATCAAACAGGCTTGGGCCATATTTGGTCTACAAAACCCCCTCAAATGAAGGCAGATCCCCCCTCCCGGCCAGCAGGGTATTTTTGTAGCAACCGCACAGAAGCATGCGTTATCATACACCACATCCTGAAATCTAAAAAGAGTAGGGAAAAAAGTTATTATCTCTACCACTCTTGCTAGCAGTGCTAACTACTAAGGATAAAGAATTTATTTATGTATGCCCTATATATGTCCATCCCTCCAGAAAAGGATCCACATATGTATAATAAGATCATTCCACTGGAAGGTTCAGTTGTGCTTGCGAAGGCATATCATGTGTGCAAAGTCTCTGCCATCCCGCAAGACCTTACAGCATGATCTGCTTCAGAAAGCAGATCCTTTCCGTAGAGCTCAGACCACCAGAGAGAGGGACTCAGTCACAAGCTTTGGATGGTGCAGCAATTCTGAGAGGTCTGAAGAACATAACCATTTGCACATTTTCATCCAGCTTTCTAACAAACCAAGAAAAAAGAGGGAAGACTTACTAATGTTAATAAATCCCAAGATCACCCTTCAGCTCCACTGGATGCAGGTTGTTATACACTTAACCTAAACCTTTCTGGTCGGCCAAGTCCCCTTTCATTTCTGGAAGGAAATGGAAAGCGTTTCACCCAGAGCACAACCTGGGGTCTGCCTCCCTGGCTCTGCTGTTAAGAGCAATATCCTGAAAGCTCTGTGCAAGTACTCATCCTTGCCTCCATATACCTGCCTGCTGAAACCTTGCCGTGCTGTCTCAACATCTCTGGTCTCCAAAGGGATACTGTGTGCATGGGCTGACCAGGAAACACCGAGATCCATGGTGCAATGTGAATAACCAAGAGAAAATAACTCCAGCAAACCGACCATAGGATCTCTTAAGGCCATGTTCTCCAGTGTAAGCCCTTTGCCTACACCTAAGAACAGAGTTTAGACATCTTGAGCAGATAGCACAAATAACTTTTGCTTTTAATTAGAGGGCCAAACTGAGAAATCAGAAGGAGAAATAATTTCCATTGGCGAGACATGAATAAAGTATTTAAATAGACCTGAAACTAACCATTTCATATAGCTTCCAGCTAATCTGATTAAGCTACTTTTAGTCTCAACACCTTACCCTGAAGTGAGATAACAGACTTTTAAATATGAACAGAAATATGTTAACATTTCTGATCTTTTTCTTTGACCAAAACTGTTTGCTGAATATGAAGTATTTCAGGATCATCTCCTTTAGAAATAAGTATTTTAATTTATTTGACTTTGTTTAATGACACAGTTCTTCAATGGCAATCAAATAACAGACAATGGTCCATTTTATTGGCATTTTTACCTGACTGTACACGGGCACAATGTTAAAGAGATTCAGCATCTTTTAGTGCCTCATCCCAGCACCAGTAGGAAAACTTAAATATGAACAGATGTTGCTGAAAGCTGAAAAAAGGGCACAGGGTCTTTCCTTCTCCTTCTCCTTCTCCTTCTTTCTCCTTCTCCTTCTCCTTCTCCTTCTCCTTCTCCTTCTCCTTCTCCTTCTCCTTCTCCTTCTCCTTCTCCTTCTCCTTCTCCTTCTCCTTCTCCTTCTCCTTCTCCTTCTCCTTCTCCTTCTCCTTCTCCTTCTCCTTCTCCTTCTCCTTCTCCTTCTCCTTCTCCTTCTCCTTCTCTTCTCCTTCTCCTTCTCCTTCTCCTTCTCCTTCTCCTTCTCCTTCTCCTTCTCCTCTTCCAATTTTCTTTATTCTTTCTCTCCTTGTCACTCTGAAAGATCATGGACTATTGGATACAAATTAAATACAAATGCTGAACAACTCCTTTCTTCTCAAACACAAAAGTAATATATACAATAATACATTATATGTAGATTTGTGTCACCCACAGTCACTTCTGTCACCTGGATTAGTGCCACCATTGTTGCTGGCTTGGGATTTATATTCAATATTGAAGGAATCTTGTGGCTACAATTTCAGATACAATTCCAAAAACATTGTGCAGTCATCTCTAGTTATATAGGATCAAATTCACCCTGGGTGAATTCTCTCTTATAAAAGCAGTGGTGTTAGAGAGCAGGACTCATTATGAGCCATCTATTATGAATATTATGATAAGGATGATTAAAGAATGTGGAACCTCCTCTCTATATGTGATTGAGCAGATTTTAGTGTTTCATTGTGCTTGATGACAAGTGAGTCTGATCATTCCCACACACCAACAGCCACATGTTTTTGGTGTTGCTCCCCATATTCAGTCTGTCCATCGTTTGCTGATTTGTTTTCTAATGTGCGTTGTCATTCTGGTTTTGTTCGCAGAACTTGACAGCATCAGTCCCATTCTCATCCACAGCAGGAGCTTTACCATGGCTCCTGCCATACAACTCAAAGACCTGTGTACTAAATACTGTACATTTCTATACACATTTACTAAGACCAGTAAATGCAGCTCTCAAGAGGGCCTTTTAGTCTCAAACGTTTCGAGGTACCCTCAATCCTAACAGTGTGCAGTATATAAAAAGGCAGTGCCATTTTACACAAATGCTCGCTGCTCCTCAAACATCATTAGAGTAGAGATTTATGCGTGCTCCTTTTGACAGTAAACATAGCATTTAAAACGTTTGAAGCATGAAGTACAGCTGGCCAGTCCCTTCACAATGCTGCAGGTCCATTACCCTCTGAATCTGGAAGCTGCAGAAAATAATTTTTCCCTATGAAAGCAAATTAGCCAGAACAGTGGCTGGAAGAGGAAGGTCTCTGGCTCCTCCCAGCCCCCTCTTGCCTCCTCTCACCACTGCAGTTATTGCCACCACCAAGACCTCTCCAGCAAGCAAGGCCCCTGCTGCCCCTGGATGGCCGAAAATGCCAGAAGGGGATGGAGAATCAGAGTCTTGTCCAAAAACCCTGGGCTGCTGTGGCAGCAACCCAGCCAGGCCCCATCTCCTTGCCTGTCCCCACCAGCACACATGTCCCTGCAGCTTCACCCACCCCTCACATCCACAGCTGCTGCCTCCATGGCACCACCAGCAGCCACAGCCCCTGAGAAGGGCACCTTGCCTGAGGTGCTTTCATGCCCTGCAGACCCCTGGTGGGCATCAAGTTTGTGTTAGCCTCAGCTTCTTTCTCCTAACCCCAGCCTTCACCTGGTGGGAGGCTGCTTGTCAACGACACCTTCATCCAGCTCCACTCTGCTGCTGTTTGGGACCTGTTTGGAATATTCTCCCTGGCTGCTGCCTTGTTGTCAGGCTGAAGGCAATCACAGTTGGGTTTGCCTAGGTAGTAGTAGTAGTAGCATTAGTAGTATAGTATTTAGTAGTAGTAGTAAAATATTGTGAATAGTATTAGTGAAATATTATTATATTAGTAAGCAGTTGTGTTAGTGCAATGTTACACCACAGGTAAATATCCCTTACAAATCCACGATTCATGGATGGGCCAATTCAACCAGTGTTGAGCCCAAAGGAACAAATTAGAATAAGAAGAAGAGTAAAACAGCAAATTTCTTTCCAAAAAGAAAAACACGTTTGTTTTCTGTGAAAAGTAGAAGCTTAATTTCAGCAATGCAGAATTAATTTTTGAGCTCCAGCTCCTCTGTATGACTTCATGTGATGTGTTGGACTTCAGATTTTTGCTTAAAGCATACTTCACCAAATGGTGAAGGACAGGTACTGAGGATACAAGGTTATTTTTGAAGGAGAGCATTTAGGCTTGTATTGGAAACCATAATTTTTAACCTGTTTTCCATATGTTTTCATACTAAAATTTAATTTTAGAAAGAATATGGACTTTTTTTTTTTTTTTTTAAGCAACAAAAATGGCAGGCAGACTGAAGAGTTTTAGGAGGAAGTCTAAGGTACCCAAATTTTAATGTTTGTCTAAACCAATCTTGTTGATTTTAGTGCAGTTAACTTGAAAAATTAAGTTATCTGCTTTATTATTATTTATCATCATCATCATTATTTATTTCTATGTGATGAATAGAAAGATCTGTAGATATCAATCTGAAGAATCCATCAAGTAATGGGAAAAAAAGGGCTCGTTGGCTCTTCTGAAGTGCTCAGAATCCAGCAGCTGCCCCTGGTCTCGCTGCCCTAACGCACATTCCTTACTTCTGAGAATCACACTGTTGAGACACCTAAACAAAAACTATACTTTAATATTGTCAAAGGAGTCAAAGCAATCTAAGAAACAAGGTTATCTTCTTTGAGTTGAAGCCTGTAACCCTAAATCAAGTATCCTACTTGAAAATATTTTCCTAGAAACTTAAATGCAGGCACCTGGCTTTGAAAAATCTCACTGTGTAATTACGAGAGGAAGCTGACTCTCTGGCTTTGCTTTTGCCACCTAAACCGATTAATGGGAGAAGAAACCTGGTTAAGCTGGCATTCTGGCTTGCTGACTAGCAAGAGTTGTTTTTGATCCATGGCCTCTGGTATTTGGATTATTTGCTTTCCGTCTCTTAATCTCTGTGGGGAAACTTCCCCTCACTATTTAAATATTAAATCCTCACCATACTGGAATGTTGCAGCATACTGCATACAAACAGAGATGTGAGGGCTGAGTTTTTTCAGTGCAAACCAATCCTGAAGTCAAACTCAGAAGGTCTTTGTTCATTTGCTCTGAAGATACATGGATGTCTTCTGCTGGGTATTTAACATGTATTTGAACACCAAAGACCCTATAAGGGCTAACACACATTGCAATCCTTTAGGCTTGTGGACTGCAGCTATAGCTTCCCCCTACTGGCAGCGGGGACAGGGCAGATGGCAACAGCAATCAGAAGGGGACTCCGAGTTTCTGCAGTTTTGGTGTTTAAGTACAATTTATTTTAACAGGCTCCAGACTGAAGTCAGCCCTTTCAAGTCTATCAGATTTTTTTCCCCAAAGACGTTGCAGTGCCTAGCTAGAGGAGAAAGCTAGCATCCTTTCATTCTTCAAAACATTGTTTTGAGAAAAACAATCTTTCCCTAAACTTCCTTTGTAAAATTTCTGCTGCTGTTTGCTACAAACTGTTCTTAATTGTGGCTGATATCACCCACCAGCAGGTAGCCCTAATTTCCTGATAAACTTTCCATTTCTGTGTTGGGCACTTGTTTTCCTTTTGTCTCCGTTTGACAGGTTGGTTCTCTCCTAAGCAACGGCAGCACTAATTAAAGGTACTGGTGTGATGGTCTTTTTAGGATTGTGAATAACAGTTTTAAAAATACTTTTGCCAAATATTTTTTGATTGCTTCTTCTGGGAAGATGTGTTCTATCCAGAGAAGTGCTTATGTCCTTCTGAGTGTGTGTTTCTGTGGTTGCACTAGTAGAGCACTCGGCCCACTCCTGAAATACTCTTCTAAGCTCCCAAACACTCTAACAAAGGCTGGCAATAACACTGTGTAGCATTTAGGCAGCACTGATGGAAATACGAGTGCTTAAGTCCCAAAGCCAACCCCACAATTTTTACTGTGTAGATAATAAAAGGAAAATCAGACATGTAATAGGGAATTATAAATCCAGAGATTTAGTAAATTGCTTTTATTGTTTCTTGAAGATGGTTACCAGCTTAGATTTGTTGACCGGTTCTGTGCATTGTGTATGGCTTCTACAGCTTTTTGCAATATTTATCTACTTTGCACTGAAACAGCAGAGGAAGAGAAAATGAGAGGAGGTTAAAAAGTTACTACTCCTTAAAAATTATCAAATCTCACAGATTTAGGTGTCATGCTAGTTAACTAACAAAAGGCCTTTGCTCTAGAACTGGTGTGGCAATGCAGACAGGTTTATCACCAAGACAAATCTGTTGACATGTTAATAGTCATGCAACAGGTGAACTTAAAATTGAAGGACCAATGTATAATCCGTCAGTCCAAGACTGTCAAAACCAAATTGCCCTCCAAAATAACCACTTACAATGACAACTGCAAGTGCACCAAGCTCTGCAGAAAGACATTTAGTCATGTTCTTGGAATATATATACCCTTATGCAGAATATGTTATTATTTGGCTCCATCTGTCTATCTTAAAGACAGGAATGGAGTCCTCCTCTCCAGGCCTGTTGTCCCCACTTTAGTTGCTTGTAACTCTCCTTATGTGGAGATTGTGTAATGTGGATGACCAAGGTAAAGCTCATGAGGAAAAACAAAAACCACATTTTGCTGTTGAGCTAGCTGAGTGCTTATGGTGTTGTGTTTCTAGAATAATTATTTTAGCCCAAAACTGCCATTGATGTATAAAGGTTTCCCCAATGTGCTTCAGTGAAAGTGCATCTACATACCCTTTGTTGTATTTGTCCTTCCCCAGGAATTTTTCTAATTTCCTGCCAGTTTCAGCCTGGGTTCCTTCACAGGAGGAGCTGAGGAAGAACTGCTCTTTAAGTGCAAACGTTGAAAAACATTGAGGAAAGCTGGAGAACAGGAACCTCCAACAAATTCAGGAAGAAGCAGTAGAAGTATGAAGGAGAAGCAGAAGACGTATGATACTGGGAGCATAGTCAGCTTCAGTACCATCAGATGTAGCTACTGAATAAGATAGTAATTACTGCAGACAGTCTGCAATAATTTGCAATATAGCCACTGATAATAAAGGAAAAAGATGAAACTCCATGCATTATTTACTGATAATCAAATCACTTTTACAATGTATCATTTACAAATGTAATAGAGTCTATTAGCAAATCCTAAAAAACACAGAAATGGTTTACACATAATCTAAGTAGTGATTTTTTTTTTCTTCACTTTAATTACAGGTACAGGAAATTTATGCTACCAATATAAATGCTAAAAATGTGAGGTATTTTCATTGCTTTAATATACAGTGTTTTACAATAAAGTGCATAATAAAATAGACTTAATTATCCTAAAAATGCTTAACAGCCAATTGACATTCATTACTCGAGTTACTGCTTTCATCTTTATTTTATGGCTAATTTTATAGTGTCAAATAATACACACATAAAAAGTACATAATGCTGCAATATACTGGAGCACCTTTTTAAGGAGAATATCAGTATTTCCTGTGGAATTGCAACTGATTGCTAGCTGATGCATTCTGGTACTGCTGGGTGGTTACTGTAGTATTCACCAAAGGGGAGGATATACACTGCTGAACACTCTATAATAAAATGGAGAATAATGAGATGTATATGTGCAAAACCAGAAATGCAATTATGTATAGCATTTAAGAAACATCATTTGATGATATTGATGTGACCTCTTTTCCGTCATATGTGAACAACTGTGCAACTTCATCTGGATTTAGAGGGCACGATGTCATTCATACGAATTACTGAGTGAATATACATGCTTTATTTGATTGCTCTGAAATAAGAAGAGCTGAAGCATGTGGTCCTCTCTGTGAAGTAAAAATTAAGACTTTTCATCTCATCCCATAGCATAAGAATTTAACCTCAGTTTTCTGCTCTTTTTCTGCAGCTGGAAACTTGCACAACAGTTGTTCACTCATCATTGAGAAAAATTCCAAGCTAGTGCCTGAGATCTGGATCTGTATCTACACATACACACTCCTGTTTAAATGATCAAGTATATAACCATATGGAAAAAAAAGCTCTTAAATGCCCATTAGTGAACTTACAGAGACTAGTGTTTTTATTTTATTCATGCAATAAAAATGCTGTAGATGAAGGATTAATGGAAGAAATGTTTGTTCATTCATGATCAGCTGACCAAAAGGACTGACTACTGGATGACAGAAACTTGCATTGGTGGGGAGAGCAGCTATTTTTTTTTTTTTTAAGAAGAATGAGCTATGAAGAAATCCCCAGAGAAACCCACAGGCTCAAAAATACTATAGTACAAGACAGTTAGATGCAATAAAGGTAATTATATTGCTACACTAATTGCTGAAAAATAGCATTTTTAAAGTTGTTGTCCATTAGGAATTAAATTCTTAAGATAGGAGACAGAGGAAACAGCACTGAGGTTCCAGGTCACACATACTGAGGCCCACATGAACAGAGATAACATTGTGCTTTACACAATTCCACTTCAAATCTAGGCAACCACGTTGAATTTAGGGGCCTCAAAAATGTTCTTTTTTTTTTTTTTCCTTCTAGTTTCAAACTCAGTAGGTGGCAAATGACTTCTGAGTAAAAAGTATTTTCTATAACATTTTTGTTAGAGAGCTTATAAACGCTAGTTTATCCAGTCAAGTGTATGAAGTATGTGGAGGTAAGTACAAGTACAAAAAGTACATGAAGTATACAGTCATCTGGCTATATTTTTTTCCTAAGTTAATACACATTAATACACACTAGCTTCAAAATATACAAATATACTTTTCCTAACAAATATATATTAAAGGAAGAGATTGATATTACAGAAACATAAATACTAACTTCTGAATTACAAACTGATCATTCAAAATGTAAATTTTTCACATTGTGCACTTATTTCCCTATTCAGTTCTTTATATGGGAGGTGTCATGATTATTTTGTTTCAAACTGACAAGATCTAGAATACATAAACCAAAACATAAACACTTTCTGAAGAAAGGTAATATTTATCACTTACATCTGCAGGTCCAAGTAAGAATTCATTATATTAACAATTATTTTATGCACTACCACACATCATTCTCCCTCTCCTCTCAAAATTATTATGAAATAAATTAATTATGAGTTATATATAGTTCAAATGGATCCTGCTACATTATTATTCCTGAGAAGTTCTTGAAACTTCTTGGACTTTGCAAGTGTCTTCAGATTTCAAAAGGGAAATTGAAGCCAGAGGATAAGGCAGTTGGGTATAAACTCTCACAGCCCGATTACAGTAATGCAAAGTTCATTAATGTATTACTTTTTACATAAATAGAAAGCTGAAAGTCTGGCAAGTCAGTTAAACAGATCGAGGTAAATACTTTCAATTATATTTTTGCTATAAAATAAGCCACTTTGTAGGAAAGTAGGTCAATTTGTAGGAAATAAAGTTGAATAGCAATAAAGCTGAACTTATTTAAATTATATACCTACTAAAGGAGTGATTATCTGTAAGACACCTGAGGCAGATGGGTTTCTGGTAATGGCTTCTTGAACATCTAAAAACAGAATCAAAGTGTATGACAAATGTTATTTAATCCAAATACTAGGATAGAAATATGATTCACAATCAAATATTCAGCACAAAACTTTGTGAAGAGTGTGGAAATGTAGTTTAATAGAACTGTTCTTTTTTCCTTTACTGATATCTGTTGAAGTATATGACATATCTGTATTTTAAAAAAATTCAGCTAGGTATCTGGAAAAAAAAATCTACTGTGTCTATAAAGAAATCTAAATCTTTAGAAAAGTGTGTCAGGTGCTCAAAGCTGGCAACAAAACTTCCAGACAGATTGGTTAGTGACTATCTGTTATTCATTAAACAAACAAAGAAACAACAACAACAACAACAACAACATAAAACACACCCAAACCTACAGAGTTTCAGGCACTTGGTAACGTGTGAAAACAAAGCTGAAAAAGGTGGATAAAGATATTGTACTTATGTGTCATCTAAGTACTTTACTTATAACACTTTACTTACTAACTTAGAGGTACATACTTCCATGTACTTACATGTCATATGTCTACCTGTAAAATTTCACAGCTTCTTATGACCAATTTCCAAAATATTTAAGCAAGCTAAATTTAGAATACATACATATATGTATTATTTTAACTTGCACAGTCATTTGTAATCCATTGACTTATATACTTTAATATTCCTTATGTTCTTTTCTTAGTTTCCTCAATTTTCTTTTTCACACTTGGCAAACTTCAGCTTTATTGCTTTCAATTTCTTTGATGAATTTGCTTTTTTTTTTTTTTTTTCAATTTCGCTGTTATTCATACAGCAATTTCTTTTGAATTTTATTGCATTTCTCTTTCCTAATGTATACTTTATTGACCTGAGCACATCATACCAAAACTCCTCTCCTACAAAAGAGAGAATTCTTTACTTCCATTTGCCTTGAAGCAAGAGGAATGAGGTACAGTGTCAGGAAATTTTGAACCACAGCTAGATGGGAGCAAGAATGGGAAGCTGTAGTTACAGAAAGTTTCTAAGAGGTTGAAAAGTTCTTTTATCCTGCTGTTGCAATTTACAGGAAACTGAAACCTTTTCCCTCAAAGTCAAGCAATCCATCATTTGATGTGGAAACATATGGATAGTGTGTTGGAGTTTAATGCCATAAAATAAGTCCCGGTCTGGTATGATTCCAGGCAACACGAACTATCGGGGTAAACTTTGGTAAACTGACCACGAAGTAATGCAGTCCACTAGGAAAGTAAGTAGAACAGTAAAATAAAATCAATGGACTTCAAGAAAACAGACTCTTGTAAACTTGAATAATTGGCAAGTAAAATTTGAAATGAAACAAATCCAAGCAGAAAGGAAAAAACAGCAGAGTTAGAAGTTCCATAAAAAGAAAAAATGACAAGCAGAAGTTATTCCAATATGTGGAAAGCCATGAACAGACCACATGGACCAAGTCACAAGGTCCCCCATTGATTTCCAATACTGTATCATGGAATATCACAAGCCGTAAGGGACATAAGGTCATAAGGATCATCAAATCCAACTCATGGCTCCACAGGAGACTACCTAAAAATTAAACCATATGTCTGAGAATGTTATCTTGGAAAGGATGAAACACACAAAATGCAGAAACTGTAAAACTACTGAGAATTTTTATTAAAGACCTGCATGATTATAGAATCATAGAATCATTTTGGTTGGAAAAGACCCTTAAGATTATCAATTCCAACCATCTGCCTAACACTTCCAATTTCATCACTAAAACATGTCCCTAAGCACCACACCCACATCTCTTAAACAGCTCCAGGCATGGCAATTCGGTCATGTAGGTCAAAGCAAATACTAACCACAAGATACAACAGCAAGAGACTAAAAAGTAAGTTACTTCTACATGTGTGTTAGTTCTAATAGGATGACCAATGAAAGTGTTTAACCACTGGAGAGAAAAAATAGCAAGAACAAGTAGAGACTTTTTCTCAACATTCTTCAACAAAATGTCGATTGTGATCAAATAGCTCATATAAGAAACACTGGCATAAAGATGGTATACAAAAAGAACAGGTTGTAGAATGCTCAGGTAAGTCTGACACTTTAAGAGTATTTGTGCAAGTGATATTCACACAAACATTCAGATTTGGCTGCAGCAATCTCAGAATTGCATTTGTGATCCTTAAGAATTCATGGAGAAGAGGAACATTTCAAAAGACTAGAATAAAGAAAATGAAAACCTTTTCATTATAAAGGGTTAGATATGTGAAAATATAAAGTATATAATAAAGAGTAATTCTTGACAAAATATAATTGAAAAAAAAAACAGGATGGATAAGCATCAGAAGAGATTCCTAAGTGAGGCTTGTACTTGTTTAAAGAACAATTTTAAGAAACACCTATTACAAACAACAGCTACTGTTTCTGTTTACTGTTTCTGAAGGGCTGAACTAGTTTCTGAAGGTGTCCTCCAATCATATTTTGATTTTTTTTTTTGACAAAGGAAAAGTCACCATTATTTTAAATTAGTTCTGTTTACTATAAGAAGGTTTAGTGATTTTGATCTACTGTTTGCTACAGTTAGTAAAGAATAATAACAATAAAATAAGAGGAAAAGAGATTTCTATCATGAGATTAATGTTTTTAATCAAACCTAATCCAAGACAACAAAACATAAAGTTACTTAATCACTTGATGAGGATCCTATTTATTATCAAACTTACTTTGTAGCCTTTGGTTGAGACGATCAAGAGACTGAAAAATCTTCTCTTCTTCTACTGAAAGTGCACTCATGCCTAGACACGGAGCCCTGGTAAGCAGAAAGGGTTGTCTCGCTGGTTGCATACCTTCCATAGCTGCCAGGATTTCATCTTCTGCAGCTGGTGTACTTGCAAGTTTTTCTGCCATAAGAAACAGAGCAGTGCTTTCTGAAACTGATGAGATTACAGGGGTAAACTCAAGTGAGAAGAGCTCATGACATTTAAATATACTGCTTGCTTTTGTGACTATGGGTCTGTGTTAAATTCACATTTAAAAGATCAAAAAGATGGTAGTCAAGAAGCATGATATGTTAGAAAATGATAAAATTAAGATCACTAATATGTTTTACAATGGGGATGACTTGTTCCAGAGCAAGTTCTACTAGTCTTGCAAATATATAATAAACCAATACCTGTCCCTATCATACTGTTATGTATGATACATACAGCTAAATACAAAGAGGAACACAATTAAACTTGACTATTTGTTCTTATGCATAAAGAATAAAAGTTATAAAACCATCAATTTCATAACATATAATGTTGCATTTTACATTTCTGTGAAAAAAAATAGGTCTAGACAACAAACTAGAATCATTGGGGCTAAAAGACACAAGTGATGTTACATAGTGCCTACATTAGGTCACTACTTTATGAATAACAAAGAATTGAAGTGAGATGTGTTACTATACCTTCTTCAGACTTGTAGGTATTATTCATACTTTGTGCTGGATCAAATGCAGATTGAATAGGACTCAGCTGGACAGCACGTAACGAATTCTATCAAAATATTTTAAAACTATTTTAAGTGTAATTTAAGGTTACTGTACTACTTCCTGAACATTTTAATTTATTATTTCATATTACTAAATGTTTCAAGTGCAAAAATGTTAGTGCATACTAATTCAGTAGATGTATTGAAGTTGATTTAATTATTTTCATTAGTAGTGACAGCAAGCTGACTTAGCACATTGATTCAAAATTGTGACAGAACAACATTTTTGATACACCTGAAATTATTTAAATTTTGAGGAAAAATAAGCTTTTTTTTTTTTTTTTTTTTTTAATAGCATCAAATATTTACCTGTGTATGATGAAATATTTACCTGTGTATGATGAGTAGACGTCTTTTTAGATGCCACAGTTTGGCTTCTCTGTTCTGAAAAAGCTCTGTGTTTATGCTCACAGTTGTCAAAAATCTGTTTTTGTCTTGTAACAGGAACAACACCTTAAATGAGATGCATACAAAAATAAAATAAACACATGTAAAAATATGATAAAGAAAAACTATTAATGGTGAATAAATTTCTCTGTCAAAGTTTAAATGTCTATCTTATAGATGTTTGCATCAGATCTCTCTAGATTATTTTCCTATGGTGAAGAGTGAAACAGGTGCTTCTAAGGCATATTTAGTTTAATCTTAGATAAGACTATAAAATCCAGATGTGGATTATATGCACTGTATAGTATTTTCCCTCAGATAGAGAGGCCTAACTTAGATATTGTACCTCAAATTTATCTCAGTTTTGTCTGGTGTAACAATATATTTTCATAATCAAACCATCAGGTTTCAAAATGAAAATTAAGTTCTACTTTAAAATTCCATGCATGCAATCTGAGGATGCAAATCGCTATTTTCACCTGCAAGTCAGGATCTACATATCCGAGGAGATATATTCTCATTTGTAAATACAGTTATTTGATTTCTTCTTGGGAATATAAATCACCTATTTATTTATGTAATACCATGTAAATTTAATGTACAGCTTTATAAGTTCAGGACAAGGCCAAGGAGTCTTTTAGTGATTTTGACAGAATTTGAGTTCTTTACTTGTTATTATAGTGATATTCAACAAAGCAGAATTTTTACTGTTTGCAGAGAAAGAAAAGAATTCATTCATCCTAGAAGAAGGTTTGAAAATAGTCTTTTGGCTTCTCTCACCAGCAGTAATACAGGATACAGGAGCTTTAAAAGGTTGCCATTTAGTTATATGTGAATTATTGTAATGTGACACATGATGCTGAATAGCACCTGAGAAGAAAGAAATGTGACTGTGTAATATTGAAATTTGGAAAGAATCAAAGAAGAAACCCTGTCTTATATTAGTAATCACATAACCTTTCTCTGAAAAATAAATTCCAAAGTTACTCTACTGATACATCAACATTTAATTGAATCGGTTTGCAAGATTAGATCTATGTCTAGGAAAGACTCCTTTGGGAAATTTAATACAAAATATAACAAGCAGTAGTGTGTTTAAGGGCATGAGATACTGAGATATGTCTGTTTAACTCCAAGCATGTGAATTAGTCCTGTGTTTATCACACAATCACAGAATTATTTAGGCTGGAAAAGACCTTCAAGATCATCAAGTCCAACCATTAACCTGACCTACTGAATCCCATCACTATACCGTGTCCTGTTCTGTGTTCACGAGGCACAATTTGTCTCAGGCTGAATGTTAAACACATTTTTAAAGCATTTTACTGGCTGAACACCAAAGAAGTTAAAATAATTCTACTATCCAGCAACAGAGGATAGCTTGTGTCAGCCAGACAATACACAATTTCAAGCCTGGAACCCCAGTTAAAGGACGGTCCTCATTTACGACAATTTTGTTTCTTCAGCGTATTCTCACTTTCTGTAGCACACATTTGGTCACACAGTGCAGATCACATTTTCTCACAGACCTTACTGAGCCCTGTGATAGTGCCACAGCAGATAATTTACTCAAGAACAACACAGTACTCAGTCTCTCTATCAAGCCCTTCAAAACAAAGATCATGGTGATCTATATGCATTTGCAGGCAATAGAACAAATACTAGCCAGCCATTAAGACTTATCTAGAGTATTTAAAATAGAGAAGACTTTCCAAGCACAAAATGTAAGCAGATACTGAGGGCCGCCCACCCCAATTTTAAAATGAGATTGCTCAGCTCTTCCTCTAAAAGAGCTGCAGCTCTATGATACTGGGGCCTGCTCACTTATCTGATGTGCAAATAAGGGTATCAATAGGCAAGTAGCTCTGCTGGAGGCCACGTATGGTAATGGGAGACTTCATTCATTTCCAATGTAAAATCAAATAGGCTAACTTAAATCACACATATCTTAAGCTCATCTGTTTGCCTTTGAACTGGAATGGACAAACAGAAGAAATTTCTCATTTTGTCCACCTCCTTCAGGCCAAGAGTAATCATCTAGCTCTGCTCCCATTGTTAAAACTATGAATTTAGACTAGATAAAATAAGAAACTTTTTTTTTTTTTTTTTTTTTCAAGTTACTAGAATGTCTTATTTTGCTAGAAAATCTCTTTGAGCTACATGGCTGATGACAGCTCAGTCAGCAGGTTGGAGCGCTGTGTGTACCTGCAGCACGGCTTGGTTTCAGGAGTTCTGTTTCTAGCTGTAGCCCTCAAGAGAAAGCAAATCAGCATATAATATAGAAAGTACCAGCAGAAGGATGCCGTCACTGCCTGAAAGTACAGCATATAGCTGGGTTGCAGAGGAGAAAAAAGCTAAATCAAAAAGTATGAAACATTTTGAAATGTAAACCCCATAAAGTTTATTCTCCCCAAATTTCTTACACATCTTTTCTCTTACCTTACCAAACACCCTCTGCATCATATTGCTCCTAAGGTTATTTTCTAATAAATTGCAAGAAATTTCTGAAAAATCCCTGAGATTTCTTAAAATTTAAAAATTTGTATCTTAAAGATCTTTACAAATCAGACATTTTGAAGAACAGCAAATTTGTCTAGTAGAAGTTTAAAATTGTTTAAAATTTTTTTTGAGTATTAATTGTATTAATGAGACTAAGACTTAATAATTTTAGGCATTTGCAGTGTCAGCATTTTAAAAACATGGTAGATCTACATTTCTTTCACTTTCAGGTGGCAGTGACTTGGATAACAAGCTATGACTCCCAGTTACCTTGTAAAAATTGCTCATATAAACTCACTTCCTCCTATATCATTATTTAGACCACCTGTCACATCTGCTCATTAGTCAGGTATATAATCTCAGGGAAAGCACTTCCTTTTCATTTAATATTGTAGAGAGCTTATAAAAATGGGGATCCGCATTTGAGAGGCCTCTGGGCACCACTAGAATAGAAATGATAATCACAACTGCTGAAAACTTGTTAAAACCAAGTATTGTGTGAATGGATGAAAGGCTGAAGGTTTTAACTGAAAACAAATTTGTGATGTAATTTAAAAGTACATTCTAATGAATGTCCCCCACCCCAAAAGCCCAGACATATGACTCTAAACCACAAGCAGAGTCCTTTAGAGCTAGGGCAGCATGCACTCCTTTCCATGCACATCCTGTTTTGTCAGCTGTTGGGATATGATCAGGATGTAATCCATTTTCTGCATTAACAGATCTTCTTTCAGTGCAGGTTACTGAATGATCTTGACAGGCACTTGTCTGACCACTATTTACAGAATAAGTATTTTTTTGCCAAAGGTTCGTATCTGGACATGCTGCAGCAAGGTGTGGCCAAGTCAGAACTACAGGTAATGCTCTCTCTGTGTGCTCTAGTTCTCCTAGTTAAAGCTTGATCTGCTAACAAAACATGCCTTTCATTGAAATAATTACCATTTCTAGTGGCAGATTGAAGACCAGAGGAAGGCCGTGGCTGAAACCCCAGGCTGACCATTGTTTTGCCACTTGTGTTTCCTGTTGTAGGTGCGGATGGTGGATGAGGTACCAACACCCTGCCTTGAGCTGCTGGAACTGTGTTGGCTTCAGAAGCCGACTGTGGTTGGACCAGAGTGCCTCTTCCGTTCTTCAGCATAGAACCCGGATGGGTTCCTATGGGTCTTGGTCTTCTGGTTATTTTTGGCTTATTTTTGTGTTGATTACCTTCATGAATTTTAGATTTGTTATTACATTCCGGGGGTTTGCTTTCTTCATCTTTTGATATCATCCAAGCTTTTTTAGCAAAAGAGGATCCAGTAGACATAAACGTATTCAGAGACATGCATTCTTTATTTGATGTTCCAGAATTAACATTTGGGTTTGATATATGAGAATTTTCCTGGTGATTTCTTGTGAACCTGGTGTTTGAAGGGTGAACAACCATACTTAAATTAGTCCAAGGAGAATCACTTGCATTTTGAAGACATTGCAGCTGTGCAGAAGATATTTCATTGGTATTTTTTTCATAGTGTTTTTCATTATTTTCCATTATTATCTTGTTAATCTGATCCCACCATCTTATTTTCCTATTCTTTTTTTCATTTTCTGCACTTTTCTTTTTCATTTTTGCCAGTTCCAAACTGTCTCTGATAGAAGACACAGGTCGAGTTCCAAAACTGATCCCATGGTTCATAACCACAGCTTTGAAATGACTGGGTTCATATTTAGATTCCTTCTTTAAGATACTTCTGAATAGTTTTGCTCTTTTTCTGTCATAAATATTGTTTTTCAGGGTTTTGTGCTCTGCAGGGATGCCAAAACTGAATTCTGTATCAGACACCAGTGACATAGTTTCAGCCACATTTGCCTTTTCTTTCTCCTTGTTATTCTGTTGCTTAATATTGCACAGAACTGAAGCATCATGAAATAAAGATGATCCTTGGTCAAGGTCATCAACACATCTAATGCTTTCTCCTTTTGTTTCAATCACTTTTCCCAAAGTATTTTTAAAAAAATCTTTACTAATGTTTTTGTCCTTTGGCAACGTATCAGCTGTGCTGGGAACGCCAGTGGAACACCTCTGATTAGGAAATAAGATTCCAGATGTTGCAATAGGTTCACTGAAGGTTTGCACAGATTTACTTCTATTTTGTGGGGTCATTTTAAAGCTCTGTTCTTGCATCAGATCCTGAATTCTTTCTCCTGGAATAGAATCAGGGCTGGCCCAGGCTTTGCAAGGACTGAAAGCAGGATGACCAGTGGCCAATGTGCTGGCCGTTCCAGAAGATGGATTCTTTCTTTCTTCTTTTATATTTTTCAGAAAAGTAAATGCTTTATTTACAGAGCTTTCTTGATTACCAGAAGTAAAGAACTCTACAGCATTTTCTTCAGATCTGTGAGAAACAGATAACTTCTCTTCTAAACTATTTACGTCTTCAGCAAGAGTTAGAAAATTATGTTTAGCTAAAAGATCATGAACAGGTAAGTTGTTGTGGCTGTTTTGGGAATCTAAATTTCTCTGACAATTATTTAGATGTATGTTTTTAGAAGTGTTTTCGTTTGTATAAATCAAATCATTGCTCCTGGTCTGTGATTTTCCAGGATTATACTGGGCACAGTCACATTGCATAGTCAAAGGTGATTCACTTGGTGGTCTGCAAGTTCCATTTTGTTCCCCAGCCTCAAGACTGTCAAGACTTGATAAACTTCCTGAATCATCTGTTTTCTCAACTTCTTGAAAATTCTGAAATACACACATAAAACCAGACTGTTAAGTTTATCAAATTTTTTTTTTCTTCACTGATACTAGTTTTTCATTTTAACACTACAGCTTAGGCTAAAATACAATCAATATTGGGCCCAATGTTTTTGTGACTTGGGGTCATAGCATTATTAATGTTTTCATCAAGTCAAAATTTACCTGTGTTTAATTGCAAAAGAAAATGATCTGCTTTTGGGATCAAACTCAGAGGAAAGAACTGTGATTCTTGTACTCTAACATGAAATGGAGTTTACAAAACAAAAGAGAATCCATGAAAATGCAGATTCAATATTAATTCTTCTCCAAACTAGAATTATTCCACAACACTAGACCAAATATGTTTGTTTGTTTGTTTCATACAGAGCTCCACAAGTAAGGCACATTTAAATGTCATGGCAAATGCGACAGCTGTCATACTCACACTCCTTAACTCTCTCTTCTCATCTTTCAGAAAGTGGAAAATATCATTTGCTTGATCAGGACTGATCAAGGGTATAGGGGATTCCATGCCCTCCCCCAACCATTGCATTATGATTATTCATCATAATGCAATGATGAATAAGAGCAACAGGCACCATCCAAATTGCCAGTGGGCTGACTTTATGTGCTACGCAGGTATTTTCTTCACTGATACTTCTCCATCTAGACACTCAGATGCCTGACATGGTTGAAAATACATATTTTATTAAGTATAAGATTTGAAAATGCACATAAATGTCAAGGAATACATGCCTATTATCTGCTTTCACATTCCTGTATTCTTCTCTCTACGTGCTATTAAATCCACTTACATATAACTGAGCTGCTAAATTTTACTCTATGCATTGGAGAAAATTGTGATGAAAAACTAAGGGGAACTGCCTTAGGCATAAAGCAATGCCATTTTTTTGGCTTTAAAAGAGAAAGGTTTCAAGTGGCAAAATCTGTTCACCTAGGTGAGTTATTATGCATCCCTCTGGAAATTAGAATAGAATTAGCATTTTGAAAACTTAACAAAGTGTGCATAAAATTAGAGAATGAGAACATATTTTTGTAGTAAAACTGTTTATTCTAACAAAAAAATACCATAATATTGCATAGTTTATAGCTGTACAAATATTTTAAATTGCAAAATAAAAATCTGAGTGGGTCCTGAAAGACTTTTTATGATTGAATTAAACCTTATCTTGCCCTAAATGTTGAGAGGTTGGTACAGTCTTCTATTATAGTTATGATCTGAGATAAAGAAACTAAATACAAGAACAAAGAACCAAGTGTAGAGAAAGATCCCTTTAGGGAACGTTTTAAAATTAAAGCTATACAAACTGGTGTCTTTCTAATAGAAAAGAATAAATAATGCATTGTTAGTTATTTATTAACCTTATGTTTGGCTAAATTGTATTGTTAACCTCTGCTTGAACTTAACCAAACAAGGAAAAAGCATATGCTTGTAGGTTTCTGTACCAGGCCAAATTTAAGAACTAACTCTGGAATTTTCAAACGGGAAAAGCAAAACAAATCAAAGCAAACCATCAATAAAAAGAAAGCAGAGGTGTCTGGCTTACTTCTTGTCTGAACTGGAGACTGCACCTGTATGGCTAAACATGCACTTCTACAATGACTAGGTTAAATATAGGGGAAAAAAATGTAATGGTTGACTTAATAAAACAACCCTGCTTCTATAGCAGGTTAGCTTAAAACTGCTTTATAGAATGCAAGAAAAGCTGCAACTTTTAAAAATTAAAATCAAAACAATTCAAATATTTTTGGTTCAGAATTTGAAAACAGATTTAATCCCACATTATATGTAATGTTACTGTCCTGGTACAACAGAACCTCATGGGGACAAAAGATTTCAGGTGAGGCAACCTCCAGAAATAAGTTTGAAACGAAAGAATAAAGGTGTCCTCATTTAAATGCACAATCACTTTTACTTAGTTCATGCAAATTTAGCTCACATACATTTATTTTGTTGTAGCATACAATTTAATCATTTCACACATGAAGGCTGCTTATCATTCTCATTAAATATTTACATGTTTTATTTTGCTTTTCTAGTGGATTTTGTAATGGAAGTGAATGTCACATTTTCTTCTAAAAATGCATAAAGAGTACTATGCATAAAGACCTCAAAAAGCATTCAGCAATTATTCATTCCTTTAGTGGTCAATAGTGTCAGGGAAATAAACCTGGATATCCCAATCATTCGTTTTGATCTTTGGGAATATTATAGGGTGAAAAGGCAGAAAAATGTTCATAGAGTGTATTATGCCTTTATTTTCTAGATTTGTATATCTTTTCTGTTACATAAATACAATTTATTGTATTGCCTGTTGCCTTCATTTTCTTATGTCCCTAATACACAAAGTTTAAACCCAGCCTGTCCACATACTTGGTACTTTGGGAGAGGGAATATTTCTGAGGAGTTAAAGAGGTTGCTTACATGTCTTAAGACTTAGAACAGCTGTGTTAAGCCATTTCATTTCAGCAAAGCACTCAAACAAAGAGAAAACATAAGCCTAAGAAACCTTTCATGAGGCAAATGAAAGAATAACATTGCAATAAGTATAATATTAAGAGAACCTGACAAGTGAATTTTCTGCCAACGGACTCTATCAGAGCTCCATTACACCGAAGAGCTGCCATATACGTATTTGACATTTTCTGCAGAAGTGCTGACTGTTCACAATTCCAAGAAATGAATGAGAACACTCTTCTGAAGACAAATGCTGTAAAAATGCTACCTGTTCTGAAAACCCAGGCTCCTGTCTTCTCACATTATTTGCTAATTTTGAGAATTTTGATTTTGATTTTTAGTTTATTTATAGGAGTTCTTTGTGTGTTATATGCAAACAATGCTCTCTCTCACTTTTGTTGTGGAGTAAAAGACACCGATGTTCATAAAGACACAAGGCTACCTTTCAAAGCCAGTGAGGTACCTAAACACTTTTACTGGTTTTGAGTTCACCACCTTTGGAATGGAAATGTCCATTAGAAAACTTGCAAACTATTGTCTATGCATGCTTGGTAAACACATACAATTCAGGCACTATACAATGCTGATTTCTCAGATGATTTGGGCCAAGCCAAGAAAGCAAATCCTATTGAGGCAGGATTTTAGTTCCTCTGTTAGACAACAGATCCAGAACATTCTACCGAACCCACCAAAGAAGCTATGAAGGTGTCCCTTGTCTTTCTTAGATGTTTCCTATTTCCTACCTGCTTTTTTTTTTTTTTCTTTTGATTTATAAGAACATACATCTACTACATCCACCTTCCCCTAAAAACCTACTGAATGTAAAGCTGACATTCATATGCTTTTCTTGCCACTATTTGAAAGCATAATTAAGTTGGCTGTTACAAGATCTGTGAGTTTCCTGGGTCCCAGATGTTCTCTACCTGTTCCTGTCCAAATTCTGAGAATCTGGATTAATGCTTGGTCTCCCAGTTGGTGAGCCATAATTCTTTACAGAGATGTGCCAGTATCAGGCATTAACTGCACAGCAAAGATCAAGCTGCAAAGTCCTACAGAAGCACTGCTGGGGATTGATAAGAATTAATACTGCATAAAATTGAAAGAGGTGACTATGTTTCTGTTCCCCAGCCACCATGAGCCTACTAGGACAGAAGAGGAATACTTGAAGAAAAATAGTTAAATTTTATTTTGCTTTCCACTTCACAAAAAGAGGCTTATCTCTTAAAACAAAACAAAATACAGCTCTGACATCTTCAAAGGGCAGAATTACTCCAGACAGAGATACTTTAATCTTGGTGAGAAAGCAATAGATTTCCCAACTTCCCCTTGAGACATTGGTATATACTCTCTCTGACAAGACCAAGTTATCATAATATAAAACTCTGGCAGATCAGTATGCAGAAACTTTATTATTTTCCATTCCCTTTCTGCAAGCAAACATTTTATTATTACCATAACCACAGTAAATAAGAGATCATATACTGTTTTTTTCCTCTTTTCCTTCCCTTTAGCTGCATTTATGAACATTTTATTCTGTTCCAATAAAACAAGTCACTTCAAAAACAGCTCTGAAGAAATGGAGAAATAACCTAGTGCATAGCTATATTAGTTATTTCATATATACATACATATTTATATGGATGTATGTTTATGAATATAAAAACAAAAATGGAAGCATGGTAATATGTATGTGAGTTCTTATGAAAAAGTATATGCTTATAAGGGAGGAACAGGTATGCAGATGACAGTTCTCAATTTCCTTTTTTCTGTGCTTTGTGACCAATGTTGTATATGTAACAATTGTTATATTTTCAAAAGTCTTATTAACATATTCATCCACCTGTAAAACAAAATCTTTTGTACTGTCAATGCTGTTTCTGCTTCAATTCTATATGATCTTCTGCGAAAGTGGGGCTTTGAATTGACACAAAGTGCTATTCAAATAAATGAACATCCAGATTGTCAGACACAAGGTTTGTAATGTCATTTTCTACAGCACAGTCTTGGAATAAAATGCTAATTTACTTTAAAAAAGACTACTCTGAGGAATACATAATGAAAGCAAGTCTGAGTATTAAAATAAGGAAAATAAATTAGTCTGGAGATAAATTTCAATGTGATTAGTAACCTTTATAGCAAATGTGAAGTTGCTTTGGATTAGTGAAATAATGTGGATGATAATGGTATGTTGCAATACTGGTTGAAAGCCAACAAAAGCTGAGGCTCCCTGATCTTGCTAAAAAGAAAAGCAGTAAGGAAATCACTTGAGTTTGTCATAAAATTCAAGTGATCAACATAAAAGATGTTAACATTCACAGTTAAAAGTCAAAGATGACCAGATTTTTTTTTGGTTTAAGGTGACCACAGAAACACATTTCCAGTCTCTGAATGGTCTTCTCAAAATCAAATCTGAATTCAGTTCAAATCCCATTTTATTTTATGCCCTCCCCTTAGAAATCTGTTTTCCCAATAACTAGCCCTGACCATTCTAAAATTTCTTGACTCCTGGGAGAGATTTCATATACTGGCACTCCTTTTTTCCATGCTGGTCTCATTTATGCCTCTGAAGAGCTAGAATGATACAATGCATTCTGCAAAAGGAACCTTTGTTTAACTCATTCCAGTCATAATAGGAATGCACTTGAAAATTAATTCAGTTTTTCTGCAAGATACCTGACACATTTCCATTTCATAGACACAGTCCATACTCAGAAGCCCAGTAATACAAAGAGCTAACAGTCATACTGGCCACTTATTCATGCAACTAAGGCAATGTCCATACATACGTGTTTGAAGTATCTGCTGCTTTCACTCAGTGTAACATCACTTAAGAAATATTCTTCAGTATTCTTCAGTATTTTCCCAGATGCCTACTTACCCTATACATAGAATATATAATCACACACCCTATAACAGGCTACAAAATGTTATTATATTAGAGATAATACAAGAAAAACCCTCCAACCCCTTAGTTTGGGTTGCTGTTTCTGAGAAATGATACCTGTGCCCCTGCTTCTATAAACAGTGAAGTATTTTATGGCAAGGGGAACCACAGAAATAACAATAATGAGTACTTTGATTGATGCACAATACACTTTAAAACAAAAGGACAGCCAAAGTAAAATTCCTGTTTCAAATCAATCAGAAAAAGGATTTAAATTTGGATTTCACAGATACCACTTGAATAATTTAATTATGGTTATGCAGAGGAGGGAAGAGGAAAATACAGTCTCCATGTTGTAATCTATAGCTATTTTGTCTGTGAATTCGCTCTTACTTCCAAGTATTTTGTTTAAAAAAATGAAACAATAGAGATAAAATGTGAAGTCAATCAAACAGTTTAATTCAAGCCTAATGTGTTTTTCTGGAAGAGCATAAAAGTATTGTATTTACCAAAACAGTTTCATATGGGCACCAAGTTGACAATGTGATGGAAAGAAAAAGACAAAAAGTTATACGAATAATATTATTCCTTGACATTGTTGAGCCATTTTAATGGGAATTTTCATTATTCAGCTCCAGGCAGGTGCCAGAAATAGAAAATTTCAACACATAACATTTGGCAAAATGATATGCAATTGTGGGTAATGTCTTTTGGTCAAAAGCTGCATGCAGCTTTAGCTAAAGACAGTGCTACCAGCTCCACCTTAAAGATTTTATTTATGCCTGCAATACAAACAGGAAAGAACTGTGCAAAAAAACCCCTTTGATTGAGAATGAAGTTAACAACATTAATTTCTTCAGAGTGGAGTTTATTTATGGGCATAATAATTTGATGTACTGACTCAGATGCAACTGTTGCACAAAATAAAATCTATTGCTCTCAATATTTTAACCAAAGTAATTTTGGAGAATGGTAAAAGGGTCACTGAAAACCTTGGTTTACTGCTGAAACTATACAAATCTTTAAGGTTGGAACACACCAATTCTATGGATAAGGTCTACATAGAACTTTATTGCTCTGTAGGAGAGAAAAGAATTTTAGGAATCTTTATAATCCTGGTAGGCCTGTAAAAACAGAACCCAAGAGAGGTTAAAGGACCTCAATGGATGGTTAGACTGCAAAGCATGTCCACAGTGAAATACTTCGATGTTTGTTTCAGAAAGGCAAGCGCTGCTGAAATGACTTTGGACAACAGACAGCAACAAGACCACTGAAGACTATTTATGTCAGTAACCTTAGTATTATAAATACTGCATCACATCACAGAAAGTCACAGCACACATACACACCAGCCCAATCCAAGAATTAAGCTTCCAAACTCAGGCTTTATAACAACAACAATAGTTTTCTTGACTATTTTTCTAATCAGAGTCCAAAGCTTGAAATTTCAAGAAAGAAAGTCAAATGCTTCAAGTATAAATAGTTATAATTTTAAACTATTTATCAGAGGGAAGAAGATGAGCAACCCCTAGTGGCAGCAGAAAAATATATTCTGGGAGAATCTTAATAGGACCAAAACATTTTCAAAAACATTGATTTGCAAACACATTAATTTGTAAATTTCTATATTATATGCAGCATCTAAAGCTGATTATTATATAAAAGAATGAATACTAATTAACAGCCTTGCCAGTACAAAATGTTCCTTCTGTCTCCTCAACCTTTTTGAAATTTACTCCAGTTGAGTGAGATTTTCTGTATTAGCCATCAGCTTCTCAAGATTCTCATGAATCCCCACCAGAACAAAGTGGGTACAAAGACCGAGATGAATGTGCCTGGAAACATTAATATCAAAGAAGTCCAAATATATCTGAACAGCACACAGCAGTCCTTCAAAAGTTATCCATCAGGATGCATTAAAAGGAAAAGTCCTTGCTCTTTTATTTTTTTTTTTTTCTAAGGAAAAGTTCTTGGACAAATTCTTGTCAATCAATGATCTCTAGCCATTTCCAGAGTAAAAGCAAGGCTGCTTCATTGTGTCAAGGTCATCTCAGACATCATGAGTCTCGTACTTAGCATTACAGAAATATGAGTGAGACCAAAATTATGTCTTTTTGTTTGCAAAAAAATATAATATTAAAGAAAGACATTTCCAAAATCAAAGACAACAATGACTGACCTAAAATCAGACATAAAGGTGCAGTTGAAGGAAATCACTTTGGACCTCAGTTCTTCAGGATTTTCACTGTGTTTCTAAGGTGCCTTTTGAAACTGATTTGGAGTCCAAAAGTTAATTTAGACATGGAATTAAGATGTACCCATGGCTTGTTACTAGAACACTTACATATATTCCAAAGATGACAAAAAAGGATGTAGAATCTCAAGAGACTTGAAGTCAATGCCCAAGAAATCACCGCACATTAGGGAAAACAAAAACAAACTCAACATTTGACCTACCATCATTATATTGCTATAGCTTTTTGTGCTGAGCTATAGCAATCAGCAAAGCAGAAACTTAAGTGCATATCTGGAAGCTGCCAGTTTAAGTTTGGAGCTAGTACAAGACTCCTGTGATAGACTAATGTCTAGCTACTCCAGAGCCAAGAATTCTAGCAGTCAAATCTTAGGTTCAGAGAAAGAAAGACAACATAACTGATGTCTTTGAGGCTTTTGTGAAAATATCCTTACAAACATTTTTAAAGATTTCTAATTTCTTATTGAAAATATGTATACTTGTGGTGGTTTTACCACCAGACCCAGTACAATACTCTAACTATAAATAACCTATTAGTAAGGCAGAGTGCAGTGTGTCTAGGTGTTTAATTGGTAAGGTGTGCTTAACAGTCTTTCTTTTTTATCATATTCAAGAATAACATTTTCAAGAATTACATTTAAAAAGAATTTTCAAGAATTTTCAAGAATTACATTTAAAAATTTAAATTACATTTAAATTACATTACATCATGCAATGAATCACATGAAAATATCGTACCTCCAAGTTGCTGAGATGCTGTTTTTCTAGGAGCTGCTGCATTTCTTTCAGATTTTTCTGGAATAGAAGTTGGTTACTATCCATGCCTGTTGTACTGCTCTCCTGCATTGTGTTATCGTAGCCAACCATTGCTGAAATCTGCTCCTGATGGGAATAACCGTTTCTAGATGCTGATGAGGATGAAGTGTCATCTGTGGCTCTTGATGCAAGCAAATAACTTATTATTTTGGCTTACTTCTATGCGTCAATGATACACTTTCAAATATGTTCCTTTCCAAAAGTATACATCACCAACAAATGCCTGGCATGTGAAGGAAAGCTGAACTCCATGTAACTACAGGTGGTGCTATTTGTACTCTCTAGCATTAAAACTCTCCAACACTTTCCATTTTAAATGTTCTCTTCTGTTATTTATAAATTGTCAGAGTTTTCTGATTGGGTTGTTGGGTGAATGCCTCAGGCTGGATTATTCCAGAAAATGTCAGCCAACAGTTTGGTCATTTACAGGATGGGAACATGGATTTTTTTTTTTTTTTTAAGAAGGAAAATGACCTCTATTTTTTTCCATAAGGCTGGCTTATATAGAGGATGACTATATACTGCTTCTGTCAGATATTCCCTTACTTCAGACAGCACGAAGGCCTTGCTAGATGTTGCTTCTAGTGATGACCTGTAATGTCAGTATTGTGGGACATGAAAGAATTTATATTTTCTACCTGAAAAAAATATCTTCAGAGTTGCTACTGTAGCTGTGCACTGTGGTCACAGTGAGCTCAAATGAAGACTGAGGAAATCACTGTTTTCCACAGGTTAGGAATTATCCAGAACCATGGGGCTGACAGACACCCAGGAATTAAAGAGGCCAGGAAGCATGGGAAGCCAAATGACAAGGAAAATGAGCAATCAGAGACTAGGAAGGCAGGGAGTCTGTAACAAGATATGTTCAAGAATTAAGAGAACTGGAACTTGACTGGGTAAGATCACTAGGAATAGGAACTAATGTGTGAAAAAACAGAAGTGAGAAATAAGTGGATATCAAGGATGACAAAAGCAAGAAATAAGTAGCTTTAACCAATAAGAAAGGTATTAAAATAGCAAAACAAACAAACAAACAAACAAAAAACTAACCAACCAAACAAAAAAACACCAAGCTCCAAAACCCACCAACTTGCAGGCCAACCAACCTCTAGCCTTTTGGAAGTATAACTGTTAGCAGGCTGCCAGCTGTGCTTGAGTGCTTGACTTGGTTGCTTGACTGCTTAGGTAGAACTCCATAGCAATTGACACTGATCCTTTCTCTGTTGTTTCTAGTTTCTGTACATGCCTAATACATGTACAGAAACTCAATAACCCCTTTCTTTCGTTTATCTCCATTTCTTGAGCTTTCTTGAGAATATTTTATATAACTCTTCCAAAAGGTTCTCTTAACTGCACTGACCCAGTCAGAATATATGTTTGGCAAAGTCTGAGAAGGAATTTGTTATTTCTGATGACATGGCTGATAGTAAAAAGGGAGAACAACTTCTCAAATTTATTTTTAGAACTCTGAAAACTGCATTCTGTATTCTTCTGAATGGGAGATATCTTTGTCAACCAAAAACCTGTACCTATTGTCTGTTGAAGACTTTGTTGTTGTGGACCAGACTTATATGCATGTGGACACAAATCTGTCTTTTTCTTTTTTTGGTAAAGTTTCTTGATATCTATTTGAATGTTTAGATCAGTTACATTTATAAAAATTTGTAGGTAGCTTTTTTTCAGGGAATAGTTTTGATTTGTCATATTTTTTAGTTTCTGTCCCCAAACTGATCATAATCAAATACAACTCCAGGGAAGTGGCCACAGTACTGAGCCTATTGGAGTTCAAGAAGCATTTGGACAACGCCATCAGACATATAGTTTAATTTTTTGGTAGTCCTGTGTGGAGCCAGGAGTTGGACTCCATAATGGTGGGTCCCTTCCAACTTGGGATTTTCTTGGGATATTCTTGATGCAGCCATATTTGTCTTAAATGCTTAAAACAAGATTCATTTTTTTTTCTTTACTAGAGGACTTTTGATGAATTCTATGCATTCTGTTGCTGAGAGAGGGTAAATTATAATGATGATATATATATATGTATTGGTTTAAATGCTTACAGAATTGGAAGAATAGACAGAAATATAGAAAGGGATCTACTGCCTCATTTGAGTAAGTTTTTTGCTGTCCCCAAATTTTGGGGACTGTTATATATATTTAAATGTTTACATCTCACAACTGGTGAACGGTTACTTTCTGAAAAACCTTTTCTGTATCAAAACTTGCTTTGCTTTACTGTTTTGGAAGAAATCTATTTGACCTCTAAGAGAATGTTACACAATTTTTGGAACCAAGTCTGAATACACAGAAATGCTACTTTTGTGACCCACACAGGGAGAGAACTATGGCTCCCAGTCAAAAATGAACAGGAACTGCCCAGTGCTAACATTTTCTGCAACAGACTAAAATAATCTGTGCTGCATTGTGTTTGTTCAGTTTAAATCACAGTGCTTACAGTGGGTAAGGTGTTGTGTGAGATGCAGACAAAAATGCTTACTGTATTTTCTGTCACAAGGAAGAAAGATAAATTCTGCTAGCATTAGAACAAGCAAAGCTTTATTTCATAATAATTTGCACACTTTGCCCCTATAAAGAAACCTTTATGGCGACAACTTAATTCTTTTTCTGTTATTTCTGTACCCACATTGTCCACATCCTCCTTCACCCACCTCATATGGCTACTTACCCAAGTCTCCCAGTTACCAGCTGGAGAAGAGGCAGCACATTCTGTGGCAGGTACCAAGATATTCATGTGCTGTCTTACCAATACTGACTGGCTTGTGACCCGCTAATCAAAATAGGTCAATGTGGACACAACTTTAAAGTGTTTTTCATGCTGGGGTCACTTTGAATAATTTCTTCCTTGCATAATTTCCATTTTCAAAATCAGAGAAGTAAAATCGTATTTGAGATTCTCTATCTCTCTCTTGGATTTGGTTACTAGGGGATAAGAGCCTGTAAAGAAATATCTTAGAATAGTTTGGGTTGGAAGGGACCTTAAAGATCATCTAATTCTAATCCCCTGCCATTGGCAGGGACACCTCCCACCAGACCAGGTTGCTCAAAGCTCCATCCAAATTGGCCTTGAACACCTCCAGGGATGGGGCATCCACAACTTCTCTGTGTAGCCTGTTCCATACAAAAAAATAAACATAATTTCTATAAGAAATCAAGTTACAGAAATGAAAATCAAGGAAAGAATGCACTACAGTTCTTACAAGATAGCAAATTTAAAAATGATACATTATAATATAGTGACAGCAATATAATCCTGTCAGAAAATAAGCAAAGAGTGAGTGGTTTGAAGATGTTCTGAGAAAGAACTGTGAGCCCTTAAAGCACAAAAAGAAGTTTGTAGAAAGTTGGGAAATAAATAAATAAATTTTGGTAGTAGGGGGAAGACACAGAGTTGCTGTCCTAAGCCAAGACTGAGTGAAATGAGACAAAGGAATGGGTGCTTCTGTAGTGTTCAGAAACATCTACATGTTTTTACCATAATTTCAACTTGTATTTGGCAGGTAGTTTTTCCTTTTTGTTGTTGTTTTTTAATAGCTACAATCCACTGGACACAAACATTATCTCTATTCTGAACATCTGCACAATTTACAGCACGTGCAAAATAATTATAATGATAGTAATAACAACAGCAGCAACCAGAAAAAATAAAACACTGAACTGAATAGTTGAAGAAATGTGTGTTTGGAAAGGTGATAATCAGGAAAGAGTATCAAATACAGCAGATAAACTATACATGTAGAAATGTTCTGTGGTAAGGCAATGCATCTTAGAAAAAGTGCTCAGGTAGAGTGAAGAGTTTGGGATTCAACTTGTACGTGATATAAGAAAAATTTACAGGGGAAATTGTTATCAAGATGTTCAAGATACATATAAGGGATGAGAAATTGAAAGGAGCAACAGCTGGAAAGAAGATAAGATCATGGGATGAATATGCAAGCAACACTATCCTTGACTGTCAAAAGAGAAAAATGTGGATGAGAAGAAGAAAGTATCTTGACAGAGTACTTTATACTTCATAGAGCAGCAGATGGCTTGGTAACCATGACAGTCTGAGTCAGGCACAACTGAACGGGGACCAGGTTCACCCTGACTATTCCCAGAATTCTCCTGAAGGGAAAAGGTTTGTATCATCTCCTCTGCTGTTGTACCTACTGCACGCAAACAACTTAAGGATGTTTCATAATATTTTCATTGGAACATTTCACAGAAGTGCTTCTTTGCCACAGAAAGATGGCCTGCAATTTCTGAGAGAGTAATCATCTACTGTTTATTGAATACACCAAGTAATTTACTTCTTTTGATCATCAGAATAAACAAAAATGCTTACCTGAAGGTGGTTTTGTTTCTGCTGGGCAAGTACAATCCTGATGTTAAAACTGATCCTTTAATTTGTTCAAGAGCTTCTTCTAGCTGAAAAGCTGCTTTTGTCTGGACTAGAGTTATCAGGATAAAAAACACACCAGAAAAAAAAAAAAAGGAATATTTTACCATACATGTTTTGGTTAAGATTCTTAAATTTGGAAGCCTAAATCCAGACTGTTACAAAAAAAAAAAAAAACAAAAAAAACGTAGTTTAGCATTGTTAGGCATGCTGGAACATCTCATGTTCCTCTGAAATAAAACCCAGTCTATTTAAGTGTTTATTGCAATGCATTTAGTCAACAGTTTTTCTATTTGTTCTTCTACTGCACTGTTGAAAAAGTGGGTGGTTAAAAAATCCAGCACTAACTTTGTTTTCACATTGTGATTATTATGTCCATGCACTAAGCCAAAGTTATGACTTGCAGGTGTTTTATAGAGGCCAAATTGTGACTTAGGAACTGAATCAGTGGAGAAAGAAAGAGTCCAGACAGGCACAAGGTTTTGCTTCATACAAATAAGCAAACATAGGATAGAAAGTGGCAGAGACAGAATTGCTATTAAGGAAAACCAAGAAAAAAGTTATGATTCATTATCATTGCTGCACAGTCTGGGCTGTCAGTAGGGCTATGAAGAAGAAGCCCTGAGTACCATTCTATTTTGTTATTTTAATCTGACATTTGATCTTGAAGTCAGAGACATTACCTCACAGCTGGCGCAATTGCAGTTGGAAGAGTAAATCTGTTGAAGAATTTCTAAGTAATATACCACATCTTCAGAGTTTCAACACTGGAAAGTTGACTGGAAGTCAGACTTGGCTGAAGCTGTTAAGAACTCCTGCCAATCTGCCCTGATTCCAACTCAGAAAGCAGGAACTGCGTTGCTGCGATCATTACTTCCCAGCAGTGAAAGAACTGCTTAAAAAGCTGACTAATTCAGCAAAAGTTATGTAATACAATAATATACACTAGGACTGCCTTTACTTAATGATAAACAAAATGCATATTCTTGAATATTTCACACTCAGGGCTTCACACAGGGGATTGTCACACCATCCCAATGACTTTCAATGGCCTTGTAACATCTTATACGCAACTTTGAAATCGCAGTATTAGAAGCAGAGGACACTGCAGTGAAAAATTGGGGGAAAAAAAGGAAAACACAATATCCCTGGGAGCTAATTACATGCTGTGATTGAAATATAAAGAAATATTTCACAATATAGTATTTAGAAAAAAACAAACAAACGTTGTTATTTCATTCCTTCTACCACTTCTGTCATAAGAATCAGACCTGTGCTTCCTGTCAGTTATGTTTTGCTTATTAATTCAATTAATTTGAATTAAGTTAATTGTTTTGTTTTGCCTTAACTACATTTTATTAGCATAAAAAAAATGTGTATTGTAAATAATGTTTAAATTTTAATTTACAAACCTATTTGTTTGTGCTGAGAAGCAGGCAGATGAGCACGCTGGAACCTCTCAGTTGCTTCTTGAAGTTTAATCCTCCTCTGTTGCAGAACTTTGTCTCTTAGTCTTTGTTCTTTTTCTTCTTTTTGCTTCCATCTTTCTTCAAAGGCTCTGTATTTAGGAAGCAAAAGTAGATGATACCCATGTTTTCTAATTACATTTACAGAAACGTCAGCATCTAGTTTATTATTTTGTGGTTTTGGAATGGAAGTTTGCTTGTCCACAAATTAAATGTGATAAATTTCAGCACAGTTGGATCATTATGGTTAGACTGAACCTAAATGGGACAGTGGGTTATGAAGAAGAGACACACCATAATCCTGTTACTTTGTTAGCATCAACCAGAGATGTAATTCTTTCTTATACACGAATTAACACGCAGACTCAAACAGTTCTTGTCACCAGTGTCATTTTCACTACATTCTTTACATTACCACCAAAGTCTGTCACAGTGGGCAAACCTACAGGAAGGTGAACTACAAATACTGTGTGTGCGTGCCTTTCAGGAGCTGTTGAGGAAATAGTTTAAGAGGTGTTTTCAGAAATGACATACAAGAACTACAGCTTTAACCTAGAAATGCATGAGTTAGTATCAGCTTCCAATTGTTGAGAAACTTCCTGAAAAACAATCAGTTTAGTAGCACAAAGTGGGATAATAGAGTGGTGTGAAACTGTGACTGACTGAATCTGTTGTTAATATCATATACATTTAAAATGTGTCCTTCAACCAGCTGCAAAGCAATGCACATTCTGATTGAAAAAAAATCACAAACTTCTTCTGTAGGCACAGGTTTGTTGAAGCTATGTGGAATTTTTCTTCTTGCTGACAAAAGCCTCAACTTTTGCTGACAAACTTAAATTGGTTCCTTGAGTAAAACATACCTTCCATCAGTAAACTCATTGGCACAGTGCCTCCATAGACAAAGCAATACTTAAATACACAACTTCTAATGAGTCTGCCATGCAGGAATCACTACAACTGGAAGCAAAGCTGCTCCTCAACAGAGTTACTCCGTAACTCAGGCTATTTGATTTATTTTTCCCTTTTCTTTCTAGGGAAAAAGTTCAAATATTAAACTTTAAACTCCCTAGTATCCCTTCAAAATGCTGCCAATTCACCTGTGAAAACAAACAGGAAAATAATTTGAAATAGTAGGTTCGGGTTTTGGAAGTCTAAAGGCAGTAAGTGCACAGTAGTTAAAAAAATAGGAAAATATCCAACTAATTCCCAAATACAACTTTTACAGGCATATCCACTTTATTACACCTGAAAGCCAAAGAGTAGCAGATACCTAAGGAACTTTTGCTATTTGAAAACACAGATATGCATGGTTGTCAAAACCCACTGAATCTAATGTCTGACATTTCCCAATTTTATGGACCAATTATTGCATTAACAGCAAGTGAAGGCAAAACATGTATTTTTTGAAGTGGAAATGCACTGTAAAGGGCTTCCATGCAGCTATTCAAAACTTACGTTGCTAGTAACACTTAATAAAGTTATGCTTTCAAAAATCCAGAGGAATTCCTAAGTAATTCAAGGTAATCACAGAATCACAGAATGGCTGAGGTTGGAAGGGACCTCTGAAGATCATCTCGTCCAACCCTACTGCTGAGCAGGATCACCTAATCTTTTCTAGAGATGAAGAATTACAAAGCTCTATAGCCCAAATGAAGAACAAGACAGCAGACTGACTTATGCAAACAGAAACTGAATCACAGAATACGTAAGGTTGGAAGGCACCTCTGGAGGTCCAACCCCTGCTCAAGCAGGGACACCTAGAGCAGGCTGCCCAGGATCATGTCCAGGTGGCTCTTGAAGATCTCCAAGAAGACCCCACAGCCTCCCTGGACAGCCTGTGCCAGGGCTCCCTCACCTGCACAGCAAAGAAGTGCTTTCTGATGGTCAGAAATAGTATTAAAACATGATCCCATCACTGCAGATTTCATTTGAAATACCTCTTCTCAGCAAGTAGGAATGATTTGACACGAGGCATGAGGTGAGGCTGGACAAGCAGTTATCCAAAACCAGAAAAACCTGTCAGAGAAATATACCCACATCACTTTAGTTGTTCATATAATCTAGAAGTTTCAGAAATAGAATGAGAGTTTATTTTCAGCTTTCAGTATTTCTGTGTTTCACTTGGGTTAAATAGAGAAATATGCAATATTATATAATTTTTATGTTGACTGAAAGTATAGGAAAATCACAATCGAGGAAACAGACTTGCTTACCCCAGAAAGTATTTTAAAAACATTCTTCTCCATCTCCTTAATATTTCTAGAAGCTGCTCAAGAAAGCCTTTAGTTGAACTATAGCTGTTAAATTCAGACATGTGGGAAATTCTACAACTCTGGAATAACTCCAGAGTATAACTCCAAAAAGAAATGAGCAAATTCTGACAGAGCCTTTCACTATTTATTTTTAAAGGGATTTTGGAGTATGACATAGCTGCGCTCTTCCACATTCCTTACAGCTGGAATTAAAAAAATACTCTTGTTCCATATAGCTGGAAATGGGAAGGTACAACTGCTGATGCTGTCTGGAGTAAGACATGAGGGAGAAATAGCATTTTGTTTTAATTGGAAGGAAATGTATCTTTAAAGATACTCAACGAAGCCTGCATCATTAACTTCTTGACCTTACAGAATGTAAATTGGGAAACCCAGGTGCATTATGTAAAAGAAATCATTTCACAAATGCACAACGACATCTTACAGAAAACCACTTAAAACAAATGTTTGTCCATCCACCAGACGAAGCCACCAACTTGGGTTCATATCGCAGATGTAATATTGGCAAAAGAGCATGGCTTTAAGATGGGGAGTTAGCAGAAGAATTTCCTGATTGGTGTTTTTTTAACCTGGTTTTTCTGTCTGCTATAAACAATCCGCTGGTGCAGCAATTTTTGCAATGGCTGCCAAAATGTTTATAGCAAATTTGGAATACGAACCTTAGAAGATTTAGCATATACAGACATTATGTGGAAGGTATTTTCATGCTAAAAACAGTGTAACCAGATGGTAAAACTATTTCCTGGTTAATTTTATTAAATTACCTTCCCAGTGAAGTGATGGATGCTACAGTCATAGGTGGACTAAATGCTTATTACTGCCTTGGATGAAAAAAACACAAAACAATATATATATATAGAGAGAGAAAGAGTGCATTTGGAATGCTATGAAATGAACCTTTTGATACCGAGGTGGTGATATTCATCAGGATACAAATATCCTTTGTCATACCTTCATTGCAAACCAGTGCACAATAATTTAAAGTTGATGCGGAAGGGTATCTGTACACTTAATGACTACAGCAAGATCAAGGAAAGGGTAGAATGGGGTGTCACACTCCAAATGTTATCCATGAGCAAACAGGAAATACCCCGTATTATTAAAAGGTTCTGTGGAGGTTGCTCATAAATCAATTATTTTATTTAAATGAAATACTCGCCAGGGTCATAGGAACACATATTAGCTGTACTCCGTCATCTTCTGTGATGATTTGCTGAATGAAAAGGGACAGCCCCAAAGTGCCGTACTGGCTTCAGAAGGACTGACCATTAGGGCTCACAGGGGGCTGTGCTCCAAAACGCCCCAAGGGTTCACAACAGAGCTGCCCACACTATCCACCAATTTGCTGCACTCCAAATCTCTTTTATCAGTGAAAAGGAAGCATACCTTATATGAGCCAGGATATTTTTTTGTTAGGATAATTCAGTTCCTAAGGGACTAATTTGGACACCGTTAACCCAGATATAATTGTTACTGAAAAATAATAACACAATTGGAATATTTCCAAACAGATAAAGACTCAACAATAGTACTAATAGTTGAAACTGCTATTCACATGCTTAGTTCCTTCCCATTTTCTGACATTATGATCACTCTTCTCTTTCTCTTCTGGGTCCCAAAGCTGGTAGTTTCATTCTGGTGCTCCTGGGCTGTTACAGTGAGCTGTCAGCATCTGGAGTCCCTTCACCAGGAGCAACATGATATTTGTGCTAACGCTTTCTTCTCCCTCACCTCAGGATCCCCTTGGAGCATTTTTGTTTGCTGTGATGCTTTTACACCTTTGCTCTTCCTTCATGCATCTGCAGCCCCACAGTCCATCCAAACAGTCCACACAGGGAGACTTTTACACGTACCACATGCCATTTTATTTTTCTCTGTTGCCCCTAAAGTCAGTTTTGCCATCTCCAGGTCTGCATTTCTTTAACTGACTAGCGGTGAGTTGTTTATAGCTGCGGGGTCTCCTGTGCCAAGCCTGTGTGCCAGCTCTTATCTTCCCGAGCCTGCACTCCTCTACGCTGCAACCTGCGCCCCCAGATCCTGAGACCTCTGCTCTCGTACCAGGCCTGTGTTTCTCTGCGCTGTGTCATCAGGTTGGTTGTAAATTCTTCATCCTGCACAGATAGCTGCTTGTTACTGCTATCTGTATAAAACCATGCTCATACCATAAAAAGACAAACAACGTGAAATAAATTAGCCGCAGACACCTGGTCAATTAGAAAAATTGCTGTCCCAGCTAAACCAAGCAAAAAAAAGCTGCAGGCAGGTCATGAGAAGTTCACACAGAGCAAACTTGACAAGCCCCCAGCCTGAGACCTTGCAAAGTCAGCACAATCCTGTGGCCCGTCTGCAGCGGTGGCAGCGCTGGATTACAGGTCAGCGTGGTTGCACTGACCGCTGCTTTTTGCAGCTTCATTCTCATGTAGAAAGCAATACCAAATTCTTAACACTTGGTCTCCTCTTCTTGCCAGGTGCTAACAGTTCCCTCCCATTTCTGGCACTAAAACCTTTGTGTTTCTCTATCAAAAACTGAACTTAAAGATCTTTTATTAAATAATCAGTGATAATCAGCCAGTAGGTGGAGCACAAAGCTTGTGTATACATTGAAAATTATTATTTTCTTTTTTGAAAAAAAAGCAGCAGTGATTAGATTGAAAACTGATACAAACTGGGGAAATATTTCCTTCCCCAATTACAACAGATGGGTTAGCTATTCAGATTTCAAGGTAATTCAAAACACTGACCCATGGCAGCTGACTGCGGGGTTTATTTAAAAATGCACGCACACAATTGCATAAGATTTTCTGCTTCCTGACCCAACCATCTACCTGCAGCCAGTAACCTCACGGTGAAATGGGATATGCACTTTGCAGAGCAGTACCAGCAGGATGGCTGCAGTTCCCTGCATAGAAACACAAAATATGATCTCCTATTCATTTCTATAAAGTATGTGCTTAGTCAGTAGCTCTTATTTCTGAAATACTGTTATTTAAACAAAATATGTCAGCTGCTACCCCAGAGCTCATTTAATTCTTAAACTGGTCTTGAAATTGCAACATTACGTCTTAGCGAGACAATCGAGGAGTGACTCAGGCAATTTAAGTGAAGATAATCTGTGTGGCTGTTCATTACGTTGAAGGACTGTTGTTAATACAAAACGAAGGAGTTTGGTCTGTACAAGGATGCAAAGAAGCTGATGGCATCAGATATGATGTAAGCATGGGTTCCTTTAAGTATTCACCTTGAAAAAGATCTGTGACTGAAGTTGTTGAGGCTTTGCTTTCCAAAGCTACACCTGCTTATTTTTTTCTGTGCAAGTGATTTTTTTCTCCTTACTAATACATTAATTAACTGAGCACATCTTGTCAGAAGTGGATGATTTTTAATGTTGAAGCTGCTGCATTTTAGATGTATTAACAACAGGTCAATACAATCTGTCAGGTAAAATTTCACTACAAGTCCATTTAGAAAAGGTGGAAAACAAAACAAACAAAAAAAAAATTGAAAACTTCAATTTGCAAGCTCTCTGCACCTGGAGATCTCCTTAGCTTAAAAAGTGTTGGGCACTAGAGGCTAACACACTTGGCCCCATCCTTGGTATAAGCATGTTTAAAGATAGACTGGTGGTGGTTCTTCCAAAAAGAACCCAACAAACCAGCTCACACACACACACAGAAGACCCAAACATGTAAGTTTTTCTTCACAGTGCAACACAAGGAGAAAGAACCTAAATAAAACAAGATTAAGAACAGAGCAGAGGCTCTGCTATTTCTTCCCTAGGTCTGTTTGTAAGAGGAGATTCACTGCTATTGCTTTTCAGAAGAGGCTTTGTAAATTTAAGGGTAACCTTAAATTTGGCCATACTTGACCAACTTGATAAGCTTCTACAATGAAAAGTCTGCCTGGTAGGGGAGGAAAGACCAGTGGATAGGCTACCTAGACTTCAGCAGGGCCTTTGACGCTGCCTCCCATAAGATCTTAGTAGACGAGCTGTTGGTGTATGGGCTGAATGAGCAGGCAGCGAGGTGGATGAAAAGGGGGCTGAAAAGCCGATGACAGGATGGTGACCATGGCACCCAGCAGTGCTCCCCAGGGGACAATGCTGTGTCCAGTCCTGTTTAGCATCTTCACGAATCATCCAGATAACGGAGCAAAGCGTACCCACAGCAAGTTTGTAGATGACACAAAACTTGCGGGAGAAGTGGATACACCAGAGGCTCCTACTGCCATCCATAGGGATCTCAACAGGCTGGAGAAGTGGGCTGACAGGAACCTCATAGAGCTCAACAAGGAGAAGTGCAGAGTCCTGCACCTGGGGAGGAACAACCCCAGGCACCAGGACATGCTGGGGTGCACCTAGGTGGGAACCAGAAGAGCAGAAAGGGACCTGGGGGTCCTGGTGGGCACCAAGTTGAAAAAGAGCCAGCAACATGCCTGTGCAGCAAAGAACCCTGACAGCATCCTGGAGTTCCCTCCTTGGAGATCTTGAAAAGCTGTCTGGACATGGTCTTGGGCAGCCTGCTACGGGTGTCCCTGCCTGAGCAGGGGTTAGACCAGATGGACCCAGAGGTCCCTTCCTACCCCAGCCATTCTGCGTGAAGGTTAGAAGTAGAAAACAAATTGTCATATTAAACAGTGCATTCCCGTCTCCTCTGTATATTTGAAAGAAAAAAAAAATCAAGAGAAAATTCCAGTTTTGAAATTATAAAGTAGCTGTGCCAAGAATAACTTCTGACACATGCCTGCGAGCCCTGTCAGGGAGAATTTAGGATGCTGTCAGGTGAGAATGCGGAGCTTAAAGAAGTCCTGCTACCCTTGAGAAACCATCATCATAGCTAACACTTTACAATCTGTTACAAAGCTAATGGATCTTAGCTCATACACAGGTTTGGGACGTAACCTGATGGCTGATCCATCAGAAGATAAATCACTTCCTACCTCCATAACTTTTGGCAAAAAATATTCAATTTCAATGAACTTTTGACTTCTAAATTGCTTTCCACCATATATGCAATGGCCCGAAGTTTTGAATTATATTTCACAATTTATTAATACTGTATGCACTCACTACCTTTTTAACATTAGACAACTAACTCATTTGCAGTTAGCAGAAGACTTGTCACCACAGATTTCCATCTGAACTGCTTATAATACTTGTTTTCAGTTACCACAAATGGAAACAATTTCCTTCTATGAATACCATACCTACATTTTTAACTGGCTCACCTGGGTAACTTGGATTTATGCTGTTTCTTAAGGCCACAATGAATTCATATGGAAATGTATTTATGCATCGACGAGCATTAGTTTAGCTACCCCAGTCCATCAAAAATATGCAGGCTGTCTAGTGCTTGCTTTTCCATCAGAGTATAATATTTCAAGACCAACATATGATAAATAGTGTTCGTCTGAGATGCATGGTGTTACAGGAGTACGGTTCCAGAACACTAAACAAGATATTCGATCTTTCAGCTGAGGCTCAGTTTATTATCTGCAAAGGCTGTGGATCGCACACGGTCTTTAATCACTCCCAGGTGATACTACTGCCTCTTCCATTTTTCTTTATATTTCAAAATATATGCAGACAGCACATTATGCTGGGCTTTTGTGAGGCTAAAACAGCAGTAAAGCAGTATCTACTGACTCTAATGACTTCTCAACCCATGTCAATAAATAAATGTTGCACAGCAGATCACCTGATATGGGTACTATGCGGGATGAGTGTTTCAGAGAGTTAACACTAGGCAGACAAAGCTGGTCTGAGGCTGGGGCTGGTTCTGAAATGTCTCAGGGAGGAACCCATCTGTCTCCAGAGCACACAGCATCAGCCCCTTGTATATGAGAGTATGACCTAAGTCCTAGGGAAAAGCCCACTGTGCCTACCAAACTACCCACACCTCTGCACTGAAGCATCTCAACGTACAATTTACTTCACCCATTTGTCACAGAATATTTCACGATGTTGCATTCTCATGTATGAGGAAATGCAGGATATTCAAAGTTCCATTAAAAATATCAGTACATAATAACTTGGTGAAAAATATACTGCTTAACTAGGGAGACTTCGCATTGCATTCATTGGGCAGTGGGATTACAAAGCCACTTCCCATAGGGGAGGCTGTCCAGCTGTTGCTCCATGCACTCACTGCATACACTTCAGTAAGCAGGAACAATGGCCTGCCTGCTCTTACTGTATATCTGAGCTCATGTGTTACAATTCCACTGAAACTAATAAAAAATGGAAGTGTATAATAAATGCAAATCACAGCCACAAGAGGACCTGATAGTTACCTAGTTACCTGTGTTTTATACAATAAGAGGTGACTATATTGGCTGTCCAAAGAATAGTACTTCTGAATATTCACCCTTTAAAATTTATTTGTCCTATAGAAAAAAAAAAAAGGCCTAGATGCCTCTTGATCAAAGCACATCAAAGCACTGAGACTGCTTGGCAAAGTGAATATGCACACAGTAGAAACATATTGACCTGTCTCAAACTTCTGACTCAGTTTTTTATGATCTGCAACCAAGGAGCCCTAGCTACTTACCTTCTTCTTCTGTTTGTCTCTATCAGATATTTCTGTGCCTTACTCCGAAATAGCTTTTGATCTTCTTTCAATGCCCAGCGCTCTTCTTCTAAATCCCATCCAAAATGAAATGTTAAAGCTCCGTCCCTAGTCTTGTGTTAAGGACAATGGGAACTGTATCCAAGAGGTCGTTACCAGATGCAACAGCCTGTTTGACTCGACATGTCTTTTTGGGAGAGGGCAAACTTTATCCATAAGATACAAAATTGATATGCCATTTGACTAACTATGCAACAGTTGGTCCCATGAATATGTATTATGGTTGTATCTCACTTAATGTTCATCCAGAAAAAAATATAATTGCATTTTACTACTTCCAGTGATTTTTGCTGATGCTTTGCACTCACTTTTTATGACATCTGCAGATGAAAAAATCTCACCTTAGTCTATTTGAAGATACATTTTGATGTTCTTATCTAAATTTGTACCATATGGGTGCTTGTATCACAATGAAGATGTTTAAAGAGCAAAAATACCAACCCCCCCCCTCCCCCCTCACTATATAAAGGATTAGTTGTTTACGGGGTGAAATTATTTTTGTTGGATAATAACAGCTCTCCACAGAGTCACGCCTCACTGAAATAATGCCTTAAGTAGTATGGTACAAGCAGAGCTGACAACTTGTGTCAGTACATCTCACACCATTACTTAAAACTGAAGAAAACACAGATTTCCCAGTGAGGATGGAAAACATAATTCCCAAGGGCAGTATCTCTGAGAAGAGGGAAAACAAGGAAGAGTATTATGGAAAAGTTGACTTCGTACTTTGTTGTTAGAGTTGTTTAAAAACAACGGCGGAGGAGTTTTACCCTTAGCCACCTCAGAGGCAGCCCCTGACGGGGGGGATGCTGACAGGGATGCCACCGCCCTGTACCCATACCCCACCACCCCATAACCCCACCACCCCATAACCCCACCACCCCACAAGGGGTCCGGGCAGCCCGACGACCTCGGCAGCGAGCAGGGGTCCCCGCTGCCGCCCTTGAGGTCGCCTCCGGGGTGGGATCCTTGAGGGCTCCCCCGGCCGCCTCAGCCCCCGGCCCCGCGGCGGCGGAAGGATACGCTCCGGGATCCGCCATAGCACCCCCCTCGCCCGCTGCCCAGCGCTGGAGGCAGCGGCCGAGCGCTGCCCCCCCGGGCTCCATGAGGCGACCCGGGCCCGCTGCCGCCCTACCGGGGGGACCGGGAGCGGTTCTCGGCTCTTTTTTGAGGCACTTTAGCCTCGCTCCGCCGGCAACAGGGCCGCCATCGTAGCAACCGGCGACGCCGCTTCCTTCGCAACGGGGCGGGGCGGTGGGGCAGCGGCTGAGGGGACGGCGGTTTGGCGGGTGCTGCCATGGGTGGCCCTAAACCGGGTGGGGCCGGGCTGGGCTATGGAGGTGCCCGGGAGAGGTGGGCAGCGGGTCCTGGCTCCCCCGGGGGCCTGCCCACCTCCTGAGTCTATCTGAGGGTCTCTGAGGTCCCACTGGGCTTCCCAGCCTCTCTACAAAGAGCAGGATGCTACCGGATTATCAATTTATTTATTTTAAACCGGTCTCTCGAACAACCACGTTTCTCCTTTTTTTTTGCAGGGCCAACGAAGCGCGTTCCTGAGCCCGCTGCTGTTGATGGGCTTGCAGATCTCTCCGGGGATGTATGTGGAGTCTGTTGGTGGAGAAGACATGGCAAGAACAGGATAAACACTTTTTCAAAGCACAGAATGCAAAAAACGCAATGAAAAATAAATAAAAAGACATATAAATAAATAAATAATAAAAAGATATGTCAAAATATATATTTTTGTATACATTTTATTAAAAATGTAGATCAACAAAATAAGATATGTACAAATACATTAAAATATGTATAAATTTTATTTTAAAAAGTACATACATCTGCAAAGTAAAACAAACAAACAAACAAACAAACAAACAAAAAACCCCTAGTTCTTAAGAGTGAAAAGTCTTCATTTTATTTTTCAGGCAAAGCAGGGTGTGTTGTCTTGGGATACTGCCATGCCTTGGATGAGTTGTCAGCAGAAGGCTAAATGCCTTGGTGATTTCCTGGCGAGACATTTCTTGGCTGTTGTATTTGAGCTTAAACCAATTCTTCTCTTTTTCAATGTGCAGCTGTTCTATGTCTTTGACCAGGAGGGTAAAAATAGTACTCTGCATTTGTAAAATACTTTTCTCCACAGACACCCCTGCACATATTTGCAGCAGCTTATGAAGTAGGTGTTTCTCTTGCCATTTTACAGTCAAGACCACTGACGCTCAGATTGCCAAAAATGCTTCATGTTTACAATATCCCAGATATCACTGTTGAAAACGCCCTAAAATGGAAGTCTTTCACCTCTAGTTCAGACAAAACAGCCCCACATTCACCTCCTTGCCCAGTCTGAACTTTTCTGCATTGTAGGTGGAAAACTGGTTGTCACTTTTCTGCCTCTAGATGGTACTTTTCACATGCTTTTTCAACTCACACTTTGAATATCCCAGTTATCCTGATAAAATACAGCATTTAACTTAGGAAGCCTTAGAAGACTTGATCAGTATTGAGAACAGAGTCACTCAAAGAAGACTGCATCAGAGCTGTGAAACAACTACAGAATTTGAGCATCTTTCTTTAAACTTACTTCAAATTTTGACCTTAACCAGCAAAACTCACAGCTTCATCTTGGATACTTTCTGAAATTTAGGATTATGTTATATTAATAATTCACGTCTTTCAGACTGTTGGATGAGAAGATGACAAGCTGAGGACCGTGTATTAGAGAATTGTATGATTATTCTGAGACAGCGAGCAGCCTGATCTCAAGTGGTTACAAAACGGAAGGTCCTGCTCTGGCAGCTTATTTGAAAGAAGTTTTTTAAATCTTAATGTGAGCTAGAGACTGATATTCCAGTGACAAGATCAGCTTTTAAATCTGTGCAGGACAGACTGAATTTATTACAAATCCTATTTGAAACCTGAGCACAGCTATGCTGGTGCAGAAACACATTTTTCTTTCCTTCTTGTTCCTGGGGGGATTAATCTGCTAGTGCCCTTTAGCTTTCGTCCAAGCTTTAGTTTATCTGTGTAGGTGACTGCATGGGAGGAGTTCAGCCAAGGTTCTGACCATTTTAACTATTCCCTTCCAAAATTTGCCTCCTCTTCCCATTTTTCTGTATAGGGGGAATAGTCATTCCCCCTTAATGTCGTTTATGGGTAGCAATGGAAATCTTTTCACCTTCATACAAGGCTTGACTATGGATCATAACATGCATTTTTTTTTTTTTTTTTTTTTTTTTTTTTTTTTTTTAAGCCAGCATCCACTGAAGCACTTGTAAAATTCTCGTAACTCTTATCTTGGAAAACTATAATGTGCATTGTGGTGCTTCAGAACAAATTAAAAATTTGATTTTGTGAGTTACTGGAAAACCAAAGTTGTTAGAACTTTCTCAAGCAGTTGAATGTGCTCCTCTCAGGAAGACACCAGTTGCAGGTGCTTAGTGCCCTTCAGCTATTAATTTCAAAACAAAACATTGGGTTAAAAAAAGGATTAAAATCTGGATTTAACAGTGGATTAACCCACAACTTGCAACTGCTTTCAGATCTTGTTATGGTAAAGGCTATTTCCAATGTAATTTCCAGTGTATTCCAACTTCAGACAGGGATGGAGATGAACCACAGCACTGAGACAAATTTAGAACACTGGCTGTACTAGCATAAGGTGATATTGAACAGTCTCAGTGTCCTTTAGACAATATATATCCCAGCTAGGAGCTGAAGTTTCATTTGTTCAGCCAGATCACAAACAGTTTAAATTCTCTAATGTTCATGCGTAGCTGAAATCTCTTGGACCTTCAAGAACTTTCAAAACAATTTCCCTTTAGATCTGGCTGGTTAAAATACCAGTTCTGGTTAAAATACCAGATCTAATTTTTTAAGATACAAAAATTGTGTATTTGAGTGTGTGAAAACTGTAAGCGCCTGCTGCATAGTTTTAATTAAGTTTCCGTGGACTAAATTTAATTTTCTTCTTTTTCAGGACATTCTCTTGTACTTTGACATTTTTCAGGGGTAAAAATTGCTGTATTTGAATTATTGTCCCACTCTCAATACCACTGTTGCCAAAGATGGTCTACCAGTGAGACTGAGCATCTTCCCAGTAATTTTTAATGTAACAAAAAGTATTAAAGTAATATTTTTCACTTTTCTATGTAGAATTTGCTGCTGGGACATATTCTAAAATTGGCTCCACAGCCAATTCTAGTGCTCTGCTATCACACCAATGTAAACACCTTCATTTTAATAATGAAAACCTTTGTAAAAAGATGAAAATTGATGATTACTTCCCCCTCCCCTTTCTGCTAGCCCCAGATTCTCAGCACCGAATACACCAATTCTCAAAAACAGCATATAAGATATCTGTCACATAAGAATTCTGAAGAAGATTTCTGTCATATAAGAAATCTGTCACAGTTTTACCACAATGACAATGTATGTTTGATGTGTCATCTACAGGTAGTAAGCAGTAATTGCTCTCAGGAGACAAACAGTGTAGTATATAAAACCTACTGTGCAACTGAAATATGTTTTATTAAATGCAGGCATTAAAGGAGTGATGTGTTGGCTGCTCTTTGTGCTCTACACATTCCCGAATAGTTAGCTCAGGACTTCATAGTGTACAATCCTTTCCACAGAAACTTGAAACCCGTCAAAACATTTGCATTTCTTCAAGTAAAAGATGAACTGCTTTAGGGTAACTTCATTGATATCTCTTAGTATTTTTTTGGTCAGCTGGGGAGAGACTGTCATAAGTAATGTCAAACCTTGTTCATCTAAGGTAAGATTTTCAATTACTATGCTGAGATAAGATAATGAATACAGCTGAATAGTTTCTCAGAAAAGTGGCTGATGCTTTTTAAAATATAGACTGCTCTATTCAGGATAAGTATGAAAATACAGAAGAATCAGGTATTTTCAGATAGAGAAAAGAAGCTGTAGAAATTCAGTATATTAGGAGAAAAATATTGTCATAATGTCTTTTATCACAGCTCAGTGGTTAGGCCATATTTTTAATCCCATCTATATCACTGTAAAGGCAGAGTAACTCTTGGTCTTGGCAGCGTCACAGTTTTCACTTGAATTTCTGAGGTTAGATTTAATTGCCTCTTTTATGTTGGCATTTTAAAAACAATTATTGATTAAAATATTTTCTGAACAGTATTTAACTGAACAGCTGGTGAGTAGCTGTGGTAAAGCCCTGGAACAAAACTTGGTTTCAAGCAACTTATTTGTAAGTTTCAGTTGATCTATTTATAACTGTTATAGAATTTTTCTTCCTTTATTCTGTGTTTATTTCTATATTAAAGAAACATATTCTTTTAGATCTCTAGCATTTATTTATCTCTAATCACAAAAAGCAATTAAAATAATTCAGAAACTTTTTTTTTTCTTAAAATATCTTTGTTAATAATTTAATTTCTTTACTTATTTATTAATGTGTATTGATAATTAATTTATTTAGTTTCACTTTGAGAAAACAAAAATAGGAAAAAAAACTGTGTCAGTGTAGTGCCAAAACCAGAAGGAGAAACCTGAAGCAGGAAAGGAGAACAAGTATGCTGAAGATACAGTCAAGTCTAAATAAATTTTCATTTTCATTAAAATCCTTGCATTTCTATGGGTCCTATTTACATCTGAAAGTGCAGCATAGGAGCATGCCACAGTGCCTTCTGAGATTATGGAATTAAGAAACAAAGACAAAGGAAAATATGTTTCTTAGCCTTTATACAATGACACATATTTCAGGGATTACTTTTAGCTTTTCTTTAAGTGATGAATCAGAGAAATTCACTTATATCATATTACCTGGTACCGTGGAGGAAAAAATATTATATATGAAAGTACTGTTTTAAAATAACATTTATAGGTGCAGCAGTTTGAAACTACTTTTACCAATGCTTTTATTGTTACCATTTCAGATATTTTATCCCTGTAAATACAGTCCCTTTACTCTCTTCTCTGAAAGAGCACTTAAAATATTTTAAATGTTGGGTTTGTCTGCAAATCTATTTGGGACTACTCGTGTGCAATTAATAATTTGTGGAAGTATTTCCATGATCAGAGTCTAAGTCATGGATTTAGGGACTTTGTAGAGTAAAAGTGTTCTGGTAGTACGTGGTAAGTCCCAAAGTCCTCTCCTGTTGAGTGAAATTAACTTTGTTAGCATTTGAGATGTCTGTTGGGAGTGGTGGATGTAGTCTTCTTAAGTGAAAGCACTTGTGAGCTGTAGCTTCCAGTTCACAGTACTCACAGG